TACACCCCATGCACAACCACCCGTAGCACGGCTGCATGACACACACACCCCATGCCACACACCTTACCTGTTGTGACGGGTGCATACAGCCCCCCATGCACCACCACCTTCATACATCGGCGGGCATACACACACCACCACGCTAATAGACACTTGACACGTGACGGACCTACGTGTGCGGGTGTGGCCCTGATCACACACCACCCCCAGATTTGCTCCACACCTTCTACACGAGTGCTGCTGTGACCACAAACAGCTGCCGTATGCATCCACAGTTGCACATACACACACACCCCACGCACACACCTACACAGTGCGTATACTCACACACCCCACGCACACACCTACGCAGTGCGTATGCTCACACACCCCACGCACACACCTACGCAGTGCGTATGCTCACACACCCCACGCACACACCTACACGGGTGCATATATTAGGCACCCCATGCACCTATGTACATGCCTAGGTCTGCATACCTGTGTATACGCTTGCACCCTGTGCACCTACATGCATGGGTGTGTGTGCACATGTACCCCATGCACCTGTGTACACGTGCACGTTCTCCAGCATTGCGTGTGGTGCACATGTGGGCACATGTGTGGCCCAGGGCAGCGTCCACGCTTGGTGTTTCGTGCTGCTTTCCCCGCCCTGCGTCGGGGATGCCACCAGTTTCCTGTGTGTCTCCAGGGCATCGACCGCTCGCACTCCTGGGTGAATTCCGCTTACGCTCCGGGAGGCAGCAAGGCTGTGCTGCGGCGGGCGCTCCCCTATTGCGGGGCCGACCCCAGACAGGTGCCCTCCCTACCTGCCCTGCGCCAGTGTGACGCCCACCTCAGCATGAGCTCCTCCCACCTTCCTGGCTGTCTCCCACTAACCTAGGGGTGCTGCCTGTGTTTGGGGCTGTGGCATCATTGGGTCATCTTAACCAGCCTTTTGCTGCCACATGGGCCACAGGCTCAGACAGAGACAGAAGGCATGGGGTGGTATGCAAATAGCACGCAAATGATATGCAAATCTGCTCGCCCATAACCTCACTGCCCTGCATGGCCTAGTCCCCTACCTTTAATCCACCTCTGCTCAGGGGACACTCAACTGTCCCCTTGGCATAGCCGACCTGAACATTGTCAAGGGGGTGGAACTGAATCTCTGGGCCCCCCATCCCATTTCAGACAAAGAACTCCCCTCGCCCTCTTCCCAGGTGCCTGGTGTGGGAAGGGCTTTGCCTCCAGACAGACCAGGGTTCAAGTCTTAGCTCTCCTGCCCCAAGCAATTGGCTATATGTCTCTGAGCCTCAGTTTCCTCACTTGTAAAATGAAGCTATTGCTCCAAATTTTCAGACCTAGTAAGGACTTGAAGCAGATTGCTCGGCGCAGCGGTCCTGATGCTGTGCTCCAGTTAGGGCTGGGGACGTTGCGGGCGGGGTGTAGCTGGGAGGGTCAGCTCCTCAGCCCAGCCGCCCCTGAGCTCCAGTGAGTGGGGGAAATACACACGGATCAAACAGACCCACAAGTGTGCAATTGCACACTTGTGGAATTGCCAGAAATTTCCAAAATTGGTTGGAAAATGCCAGAAAGGAAGTGAACAGCAGCGGGGCACCAGCTGCCCTCTGGGGGTGACCTCTTTGCTAGGACCTGAAGGGCGAGATGGTGCCAGCCAGGGAAGGGAAGTCTGGGTTCGTGGCCCCTGCTCCCCCCTCCTACCCCCGGCACTTTGAACAGGGCTCCCCTCAACATCCTAGTCTCCTGAGGGTCAGCTGTGCCTTGAAGAGCAGGAAGGAGGTTAGGAGGTGACAGCTTGGTTCGAGAGTGGCCTTCCAGGCAGCAAGTGGCACCCTGCTACATGCCAGGGTGTGGCTGGGACCAGGGGAAACTGGAGGGGCTGCGAGTGTCAAGGCAGGTCCTGGGGGCTGGGCCACCCTCAGAATTCCTGTCCCTGCCAGCCACCTTGCCTCCTTACCAGCAAAAGAGGAGATGAGTGTGGAGCTTGAGGCCTCCTGTACCCATTTCACAGATGGAAACAATGAGGCCCAGTGAAGCCCCAAGCCAGGCTGGGGCAGGGCCAGGCCTGGCCCCTGGGGCTGTCTCAGCTGCTTCATCTCTCATGACTATGTTACCTTCTCTGTCCTTGTCTTCTTGCCTCTTTTTTCTCCTGTCCTCTCCTCTAACCCACTTTGTCTGCACCTCCTCTGGCCACACACACTCTTGCTGTCTACATTGATTTCATCTCCTCCACCTTCACCCCACCCCTCTCTCACTCCTTTGCAAACCTTTGAGCTCCATCCATGCTCCCCTCCATCCTGCCCATTGTGGTCACACTGCTTTGTCACCTCCTCCCTGGATCTTCATTGTCAGTCTCACCTCCTCCATCACATTCTTCCTGCCCACACCCTCGCACCTTGGTCTTAAGTCACTGGCTTTCTCTGGCTACTCTCCCATCGGTCCCTGCCTCCCCTGCCCTGTCCTCTCCCATGGCACCTTGGCCACGCCGACCCATCTCTCGTCCCCACCTGTCCCCACCACCCGGTGCTCATCCATGTGGAAGTATCTCTTTCTCTGTATTCGCACCGACCCACCTCTCTTCCCGCATCCATGTCCCCATGGACACGCCTTTCCTCTGCCCACGTCACCACCGCCTCACCCACGCTAACCCTCTCCTCGCCATCGCATCCCATCATAGGCCACCGACCGCAACTCTGGCCGAGCCTCCTCCTACCTCGAGGGCTCCTCCTCGGCCCTGCCAGCCACCCAGCCGAGACCCACTATGCAGAAGGTAGTGGGGGGAGGGGTGGGTGACTCAGTTTCTCCCCCAGGCCCCAGCAGAGGGGCCGAGAGCTCCTCCTCCAGCCCGGAGCTCAGCAGGGTCCAAGAGCCCAGGGAAGGGGCACATCCACTCTTCTTGCCCCCTCTCCTCCTGCATGGCCCCTGCTGCGCTAAGCCCTGCCCTGGCATGCCCACCCGCGGCGGGTGTGGGCGGGAGCGGCGCCTGGCCCCCTGTGACCGCTGCCTCTGCCGCCAGCTGCTGCACGAGGAGCTGGCGCTGCAGTGGGTGGTCAGCAGCAGCGCCGTGCGCGAGGCTGTCCTGCAGCACGCCTGGTTCTTCTTCCAGCTCATGGTGAGCCCCTCCCGCCCCGGCGCCAAGAGACCCCCAGGGGAGCCCGCCCTCCTCAGGGAGAGAAGCCCCTCCTCCAAGACGTCCCTCCTCCAAGATCTGTCGCCAGATGGAGAGGGAAACCCCCCAAAAGAACTCTTAAAGAAATGCCTTGAACGGCCCCTTCCTGAAACCTCCTGGCCACATCCTCTATGGTTTTTGGATGGGCTTTCAAGCCCCAGCCCCCATCCTCCAAATCCAGCTCCTCAAGCCCCACCCACAGAGCTGCTTAAGCCCCTCCCACACCACGCCCCCTCAGTCTTCTGCCGCACAAGGCTCCGCCCATGGCCTTCCAGCCCCGCCCACATCACTCTCAGCTTCCACCCTCAGTTTACACCTACGGGGTTCAAGTTTATCTTCAGCCTACCTACCTTGCTGCTAAAGCCCCGCCCCTCCCTTAAGCCCGCCCCGCCCATGGCCCTGAAAGCTCCGCCCACAGCAGCCACATAAGCCCCACCCACAGGTGAAGAGTATGGCGCTGCACCTGCTTCTCGGCCAGCGGCTGGACACGCCCCGCAAGCTGCGCTTCCCTGGGCGCTTCTTGGATGACATTGCAGCCTTGGTAGGCTCTGTGGGCCTGGAGGTCACCACCCGTGTCCACAAGGTAAGAGATGCAGGAAGTGCATGGGGGCAGTGCCTGAGAGAGGACGGAGAGCCAGCCAGCCAGGCAGGGGTGACAGTCCTGCCCAGGGCCTTCTGGCTGCGAGACCAGGAATCCAGTTTGCTGGATGAGTCTGTTCATTCATCGTCTGCTTCTTGAGCACCTACAGTATGTACAGCCCTGAGCTGGGTGTAAACAAAAAGGACCAGCAGTAAACAGAACAGACCAAAATCCTTACCCTGGTGGAACTGACATCTAGGGGGAGACGTGAAGAAAGTGAGGGAATGGTGCAGGCAATGCCAGGGGAAGAAGATTCCAGGCAGGGGGACGGCAAAGGCAAAGGCCCTGAGGCAGGACTGTCCCTGGGCTTTTAGGAGAGCAGTGAGGAGGTGAGTGTGGCGGGACTGCAGTGAATGAGGGGGCATGGGGGTTGGTGAGAGGAGGGAGGTGACGGGAATTAGATCCATTAGCCCTTAGCACAGCGCAAGTATACAGGAAGTGTTTAATAAATGGATGTTGATGTTCTAAGACCCTGACAACTGTCCAGGTCCTAGAACACCAATTCCAATGCCCACGGGGGCTAGGCAGGCAACAATAATGCTCATAGTAATAATATCGAGCCTTTATTAAGCGCTTACTGTATATCTAAGCACTTTAGATGGATTGTATCATTAAATTATCCCAATAACACAGGACGGTGGTATTCATGTAATCTCCATTTTACTGATGGGGAAACTGAGGCAGAGAATGACTGTGCAGCTTAACCTGGTACAGCTCAGCTAGGAAGAGGATTTGAATCTGAGCCCACCAGTCCCAGAGCCCATGCTGTCAACACCAGCTTCGGTCGGGAGAGTGGGGCTTACGGTGGACCGGGGAGCAGGAGCGACCCCATCCAACAGGGGCAAACATCTCTCAGTCCAGCGACAGAAACCCTGCAGGAACGTGGCTGTGCTGTGGCCAGACTGTCTGATTTTGAAAGAGAAACAGGACTTCTGGATTTGATGAGAACTTTCCAGGCTTTTGAAACGCCGTTCTGGCCCAAGCCAGCCCTTGCACAATCCCATGCAACCTCTGAGCTGGTCTCGAAGGTCTCGGTGGTGTCTCACTAGAGCTTTCCCAAGGGCTGACGATCCCAGGGGCTGACCACTTTCGGAAGGGGCTGGAGGGAAGAACAACGGATGACCCTGAAAAGCAGCAAGCATCCTTGCTGCTGCTAAGAGGCTCGGTGACAGGTCACAGTGGTTTCATTCATTCTCTTGACATTTATTGAGCACCGATGGCATGGGGCTCCATGTCCAAGGGAGACGCAGTCGCTGCCGCCCTGTGGACACTGAAGCTAACTTGCCGGCCACATCCTTCCCCAGGGCCTTTGCACTGACTGTTCCCTCTTCCCAGAATGCCTTTCTCCTCTTGGTTCCTTCTCATCCTTCTGGCTTCTCTCGGAGCATCACCCCATTCTGTTGTCTTCAAAGCAGACAGAACTATCTGGAATTCTCGTTTATGGTCTGTCTCCTTCACACGTGAGGCCGTGAGTTGGACAAGCAGCAGGGACGGCATATGCCTCAGTCACAGGGCTTGGCACATAATAGACGCTCAGGACGTCCTTGTTAAATGATGGCCGAGAGGGCATCATTTAGGGCAGAGGCTAATTCTTTTGAATGCGATCACAAATGGTTTAAATAACCAAAGTTTACTTCTGAGGTTCCAGAGGGTTCCGGAGTGTGTGCCTCGCCCCTGTGGTTCCGTGGCACTCAGTGGCCACAACAAGCATTGACGCGCTTTGCTGTCTATGTGGCCTCACTTCCCCTCAAACGCTATTGGCCAGAATGCGGTCACATGGTACCTCTCAGCTGCAAGGCACGCTGGGAAATGTAGTCTCTTCCCCCGCTCTGTGCGCTGTGGACAGAGAGGGGGCGGAGTTTGGGGAAAGTGAGTGGCCAGTGTCTGCCACTGTGTGTGGGGGAGTGTGGGGGGACAACGAGGAAGGCCCTGGGGCAGTGAGGCAGCTCCTGGAGGTGGCACGTGGCCTTGCCCCTGCGGGGACTCTGGCGGGCGCGGACGGGGTGGCTGTGGGCTGACTGGCCCCTTCGTCCCCAGGATGTGGAGCTGGCCGAGCGCCTCAACGCCAGCCTGGCCTTCTTCCTCAGCGACCTGCTGTCCCTGGCTGACCGCGGCTTCGTCTTCAGCCTGGTCCGGGCCCACTACAAGCAGGTAGGGGGGGGCGAGGCGGATGACGTGGCGGGGCGGCGGACGGGGCGCTGTGACGTCACCGCTGACCGCCCCTCCCCCGCAGGTGGCCACGCGGCTCCAGTCGTCCCCCAACCCGGCGGCGCTCCTGACCCTGCGCATGGAGTTCACCCGCATCCTGTGCAGCCACGAGCACTACGTGACCCTCAACCTCCCCTGCTGCCCGCTGTCGCCCCCGGCCTCGCCCTCCCCCTCCGTCTCCTCCACCACCTCCCAGGTGGGCTGGCCTCACTCCTGCCTCCTCCCTTAACCTGTGACCTCTCGCCTTCCGCCCTTCTCCTGCGGTTCCCTCATCTCTGTCCCTTTCCTGGTGGGCCACTACCTAGGTGGACTGACCCCCCACCCTTCCGCTTGACTTTTTACCTCTGACCCCTCCTTCTCAGCAACTTCCCAGAAGTAACTTCTGATTTCTCACCCCTCAGTCCTAATTCCCAGGCCAGGATCATCTCATCTGCTGTGTGTCAGTCCTCTGACCTTTGACCCTATGGCCCGTTACCTGACAGATGGGTTAACCCTAACCTCTCACCTCTGGCCTTTAACCTCAGGCCCACTGTCCCCTCCAGATGAATTGTCCAAATCTCTCCTCCCTGGCATTCCGCACCATGATTTCTGTCTCTTCCCAGATGGCTTTGATGGTGGCCTGTCACCTCTGACCCTTGACCTCAGCCTCCCTGATTTTTCCCCCCCAACACCCTCTGCAGAGCTCCACCTTCTCCAGCCAGGCCCCGGACCCCAAGGTGACCAGCATGTTCGAGCTGAGCGGGCCCTTCCGGCAGCAGCACTTCCTGGCGGGGCTCCTGCTGACGGAGCTGGCGCTGGCCCTGGATCCCGAAGCTGAGGGGTGAGCACAGACCCGAGCGGGCGGGACGGTCCGGGAGCCGTGTCCTCCCTGTCCTGAGCGCCCACCCCGCTCCCCCACAGGGCATCCGTGCTGCACAAGAAGGCCATCAGCGCCGTGCACAGCCTGCTCTGCAGTCACGACACTGACTCCCGCTACGCCGAGGCCGCCGTGAAGGCTCGCGTGGCCGAGCTGTACCTGCCGCTGCTGTCAATCGCTCGGGACACGCTGCCACGGCTGCATGACTTTGCCGGTCAGCGGGCCAGGGAAGGGTGGGGTCACACAAGGCACAGTCAAGGGCGTGGGCATGGGCGTTGGGATCAGCAGAGCAGGTTCACGTTCTGCCTCAGAGCACATGTCGCCATAACTTCCCTGAGCCTCGGGTTTCTCATCTGTAAAATGGGAACAGTAATAGCCCCAGCTACTGTCAGCCCACAATAAATGGGTGATGTTATTGTACCATTTATTGTTTTCTAAGTAGAGAAAATGTGAGGAGTGGAAAGTGAGAAAGACCCGGATGAGAAGATAGTTGGAGCCCTGCGTTCATTCATTCACCTGTTTATTCGACAAACATTTATTGACAGGGTTGAGGGAACAGTATAATGCAGTAGTTGGAAGCACAGAGTTGGGATTTGTGGGGTGATCAATTTGGGGATATTCTCAGCTACTATCTCTTGAATTTTTTTCCTGCCTCATTTTCGCTCTTCTCTCCTGGGACTCCAATTACACGTATGTTAGTCCTTTTGATCGTGTTACATGTCTGCTATGCGCTGTTCTGGTTTTTTCCATTCTTTTTGCTTCACTTGGAAAATTTTCCAGTCACCTGCCTTTCGGTTCACTAATTACATCTCCTGTTGTATCTAGTCTCCCATCAACCCCATCCATTGAGTTCTTAATTTCTCATACTGTATTTTTAAGTTGTAAAATGTCCATTTGATTTTTTGTGGTAGATCCCAGTTTTCCATTTTGAAATTGTCTTTTTTTGGGGGGGGCCATTTTTACCCATCTTTTCCTCTGATGTTGATTTTAAAGTTCCTGTTTGCTGAATTCAACATTTGGTCACCTGTCTGTCTGCTTCTATTGTCTCTTTTCTCTCTTATTGATCACATCATCCTGTCTCATCACATGTCTTGTAATTTTTTATTATATTTTAGACATTGTAAAAAGAACTATAGGGCTAAAACAATCTTCATTTTTCTCCAGTGAAAGGATAATAGGCTGATTACCTCAGTCAGGAATAAAGCTAGACTGGATTGAGCTAGAGCTGTAGTTAGATTCAATCTACCTTTTTCTTTTTGAGACAGAGTCTCACTTTGTTGCCTAGGCTAGAGTGCCATGGCATCAGCCTAGCTCACAGCAACCTCAAACTCCTGGGCTCAAGCGATCCTCCTGCCTCAGCCTCCTGAGTAGCTGGGACTACAAGCACGTGCCACCATGCCCGGCTAATTTTTTCTATATATATTAGTTGGCCAATTAATTTCTTTCTATTTTTAGTAGAGATGGGGTCTTGCTCTTGCTCAGGCTGGTTTTGAACTCCTGATCTTGAGCAATCCTCCTGCCTCGGCCTCCCAGAGTGCTAGGGTTACAGGCGTGAGCCACCGTGCCCGGCCAAGAGTGAATATTTTTGAAGTGCCTTGGCACACACGGAATGCTACATAAGTGCCCATCGATGCTGCAGTGATAGCATCAGTAGTGTTGTTACTGTCATTGGCATTTGCATCACCCTCATCGTCGTCTTTACCGTTTGGGCCGGGCCACGTTGAGCAGTGTGGTCAGATCAGATGTAGCTCGGGGCTTTTGTGGGGCTTACAAACTGTTGCGCTATTAATGTATCCAAGTAAAAGAACAATAAGGAAGTTCCGCGAGTTGATGCCCAGAGACCCCAACTGGGTCTAGGAGGCGAGAGGAGAGACTTCTGGGATTTGAGACAGGACAGCACTTACCGAGGCCTTGTTCTCGTCCGCCCTGTCCGTCCCCCTAGAGGGCCCAGGCCAGCGGTCACGGCTGGCCTCGATGCTCGACTCAGACATAGACGGTGAAGGGGACTTTGGAGCTACCATCAACCCCTCCGTGGCCATGGCCATCGCTGGCGGCCCCCTGGCCCCCGGGTCCCGGGCCAGCATCTCCCAGGGGCCCCCCACGGTGAGTCCGAGTCTCGTCCTTATAGACGCCCGCCCGCTGAGTGACTCTCAGCTCCACCCACGCGGAGGAAGCGGAAGTTAACTGGGTCCCCTCTCTGGCCCCAGACCTCTCGCTCGGGCTGTCCGCTGTCGGCGGAGGCCAGCCGGACGCTGCTGGCGTGCGTGCTGTGGGTGCTGAGGAGCGCGGAGCCCGCCCTGCTGCAGCGCTGGGCCGCCGACCTGGCGCTCCCGCAGCTCGGCCGCCTCCTGGACTTGCTGTACCTCTGCCTGGCCGCCTTCGAGTACAAGGTGCGCGGGAGGGACGGGCGGGCGCCGGGCGTGCCCCGCAGGGCCCAGGGGACAGGGCTCAGGCGGACCGTGTCACCGGCCGGCCTTCCTGAGCAGGATTTGGAAGGTGCTGGCAGTGTAGACGAAAGGGGCAAACCGTGTCTTCAGGGACAGGGACCCGAGGGCGCGAAAGGGTTCGGACAAGGGGGACCGATGCCAGCCGGGGTCCCACCAACGGGAACGGAACTCGCCTTGAACCCCGTTTCCTGCCCCCCAGGGGAAAAAGGCCTTTGAGCGCATCAACAGCCTCACGTTCAAGAAGTCGCTGGACATGAAGGCGCGGCTCGAGGAGGCCATCCTGGGCACCATCGGGGCCCGGCAGGACATGGTCCGGCGGAGTCGCGGTGAGAGGACGACGCGTCCCCGTCCCTGTCCCCACCCGCCGCCCTCCCGGCTTGCAGCCAAGGGACCCCGGGGAGGGGGGCCCATGCGTACCCTCCACCCGGCTCCCTTTTCCCGGAGGGAAGTCCACGTGTCACTGCCATGTCCGTCGGCCGCTCTGTCCCCATCTGTCACTCGCATCTACCTGCGTGTGGCCACCTGGCAGCCTCCCGCGCCCCCCCCATCAGTGTGGGTCGCCGCACGTGGGTACCCTCATGCCCGTGTGTCTCTCCTCCCGCCCCGGGTGGCCTTCTCTTCACGCATGTGCGTCTCAGAGCGGAGCCCCTTTGGGCCCCAGGAGAACGTGCGCTGGCGGAAGAGCGTCACCCACTGGAGACAGACCTCGGACCGCGTGGACAAGTGAGTGTGGGCGGAAGGGGGCTCGCTGCGTTCAGACCGGTTTCCGGGGAGCCGGCGCGCCCTGGGACGCCAGGGACAGGAGAGAGCTCAGCTGTGGCGGTGGGGCCCCAAGCGGCCCCACCGCCACCCAAGGCCGCCTTTCCCCTCCAGGACCAAGGATGAAGTGGAACACGAGGCTTTGGTGGAGGGGAACCTGGCAACCGAGGCGAGCCTGGTGGTTCTAGACACACTGGAGATCATCGTGCAGGTACGGCTTGATCCAGCATCTTCCCCGGACCCTGACTGCAGCGGAGTGCCCTGTGATCGCTGACTCCATAGCCCTTCTCCTTCCTGTCCCTATAACCACGCCGGCCTCTAACACCTGGATTTCTGACCCCCTCTCCCCCTCCCCCAGACGGTAATGCTGTCGGAGGCCCGGGAGAGCGTCTTGGGTGCGGTGCTGAAGGTCGTGTTGTACAGTCTGGGCACTGCCCAGAGCGCCCTCTTCTTGCAGCACGGCCTGGCCACCCAGCGGGCCCTGGTGTCCAAGGTGAGCACCACTTGACAACTGTGACAATACTAGCTCATCAGTCAGGCACAGTGGCTCGCGTCTGTAGTCCCAACACTTTGGGAGGCTGAGGCAGGAGGATCGCTTGAGCCCAGGAGTTGGAGACAAGCCTGAGCGACATAGCAAGACCCCGTCCCTACAAAAAATTTTTAAAAATTAGCCAGACATAGTGGCATGCACCTGCTACTCAGGAGGCTGAGGCAGGAGGATGGCTTGAGCCCAGGAGTTCAAAGCTGCAGTGAGCTATGATTGCACCACTGCATTCCAGCCTGGGCAACGGAGCGAGAGACTTTGTCTCTAAAAATAATAATAATAATGATATTACTAGTGATAGTGATGGTAGCTCATTCATTGAGCGCACAATGTGTGCTCAGCAACTCCACGGAGCAGAGACCATCTTGCCACAGTTTACAGAGGAAGGAAATGAGGATCAGAGTGGCCAAGTCACTCGCCCGAGGTCACACAGCAAGAGCTTGAACCCAGGTCAGACTGCAGAGCCAGCTGTGCTTGGCTCTAGGGGGCAGAACTCAGCTGTGCTCCTGCCCGGGGCCCCACGGGGGACCTTGGGAGCCGGAAGCAGGAGGGGCTGAGCGTGTCTGTGGGGGCGGGGCAAGTTCCCAGAGCTGCTGTTCGAGGAGGACACGGAGCTGTGCGCAGACCTGTGCCTGCGGCTCCTGCGGCACTGCGGCAGCCGCGTCGGCGCCATCCGCACGCACGCCAGCGCCTCGCTCTACCTGCTCATGCGCCAGAACTTCGAGATCGGCCACGTGAGTGGGCGGGGCGTGGTCCTCACCAGGGAGGGGGCGGGGAGGCCGTCGCGAGCGTCGCTGGCTCCAGCGCGAGGGTCTGGGGTCCGAGGCTCACCCGCCCGCCCCCGCAGAACTTCGCCCGAGTGAAGATGCAGGTGACCATGTCACTTTCGTCCCTGGTGGGCACGGCGCAGAACTTCAGCGAGGAGCACCTGCGCCGGTCACTCAAAACCATCCTCACCTACGCCGAGGAGGACGTGGGCCTGCGGGACAGCACCTTCGCCGAGCAGGTGACACCCGCCGGGCCCCCCGCCCCGCCCCCATCGGTCACCCCAACCCCCCCGCTCGGCCCCCTTCACCTCCCGGCGCCCTCACTGGGCCCGCCGTCGCCCGGCGCCAGGTGCAGGACCTGATGTTCAACCTGCACATGATCCTGACCGACACGGTGAAGATGAAGGAGCACCAGGAGGACCCCGAGATGCTCATAGACCTCATGTACAGGTGCGCGGTGGCACCTTCGGCCGGGCCCCCTCACCCGCGGGGACAGAGGAGGGGAGGTCGGAGGGGGTGAGGAGGGAGCAGGTGAGCACACAGCTGATAAGAAGAACAGGTGAGGGGGACAGGTGATGGGGGGACAGGTGGGGGATGGACAGGTGAGGGGGACAGGTGAGCGGGGGACAGGTGGGGAGATAGGGGGAGGGCAGACAGGTATAGGAACAGAGGAGGGAACAGGGGACAGTGAGGACAGATTGGCCCGTGGGGTGGCTGGTGAAAGACAAGCGAGAAGCAGTGGGAGGACCAGGTGAGTCCTCCTCCCTCACGGCCCCCTCACCGCGACGCCAGGATCGCGCGGGGCTACCAGGGCTCCCCGGACCTGCGGCTCACGTGGCTGCAGAACATGGCGGGCAAGCACGCGGAGCTGGGCAACCACGCCGAGGCCGCGCAGTGCATGGTGCACGCCGCCGCCCTGGTGGCCGAGTACCTGGCCCTGCTCGAGGACCGCCGCCACCTGCCCGTGGGCTGCGTGTCCTTCCAGGTCAGTGGCCGGAGGGCGGCAGGTGGGGTGGACGGGGGCACTCGTGGGGCAGGGACCAGGGTCTGACTGCCTCTCCCTCCCCAGAACATCTCGTCCAATGTGCTGGAGGAGTCTGCCATCTCCGATGACATCCTGTCACCGGACGAGGAGGGCTTCTGCTCGGGGAAGCACTTCACGGAGCTGGGGCTGGTGGGCTTGCTGGAGCAGGCGGCCGCCTACTTCACCATGGTGAGGCCTTGGCCGGGCTCAGCTGGGAAGGGGTCATCGCTTCCGCCACCTGGACCCGTCCAGCCTGGGGAGATGGTTTTTTTTTAGATAGAGTCTTGCTCTGTCATGTCACCCAGGCTAGAGTGCAGTGGCGTCATCATAGCTCACTGTAGCCTCAAAGTCCTGGGCTCAAGCAATCCTCCTACCTCAGCCTCCTGAGTACCTGGGACTACAGGTGCACGCCATCAAGCCTGGCTAATTCTTTAAATTTTCTTATAGAGACAGGGTCTCACCATGTTGCCCAGGCTGGTCTCGAACTCCTGGCCTAAAACAATCTTCCTGCCCTAACCGTCCAAAGTGCTAGGATTGCATACATGATCCACCCTGTCCAGCCTATTATTATTATTATTATTATTTTAAGAGACAGGGTCTCACTCTTGCTCAGGCTGGTCTTGAACTCCTGGCCTCAAGCGATCCTCCCACCTCGGCCTCCCAAAGTTCTGGGAGTATAGGCATGAGCCACTGCACCTGGCCTAAACTTTATTTTTAAGAGCAGTTTCTAGTATATAGCAAAATTGAGTGGAAAGTACAGACAGTTCTCACACACCCCCTGCCCTACACATTCACAAACTCCCCCAGGAAAAACACGCCGAACCAGGGTGGCACATTTGTTACAATCAAAGAAACAACCTTGATCCATCCACCATACTCACCCAGATTAGGGTTCACATTAGGGTACATTCTTGGGGTTCATTCTGTGGGTTTGGAAAAACGTGTAATGACATATATCCAGTCTCACAGAATCACACACAGAATAATTGCACTGCCTGGAACTTTGTCTGTTTTAATCTAAAAAAATGGAGAATCAGTTCACAGTTCCCCTACGCGCTCCCCCTTTTTGTAAGACAGACTCTTGCTCTGTCACCCAGGCTAGAGTGCAGTGGCATCATAGCTCACTGCAACTTCAAACTCCTGGGCTCCAGCGATCCTCCTGCCTCAGCCTCCCGAGTAGCTGGGACTACAGGCATGCGCCACCGTGCCCGGCTACTTTTCTATTTTTTGTAGAGATGGGGTCTTGCTCTTGCTCAGGTTGGTCTTGAACTCTTGGCCTCAAGGGATCTTGAGGGCCTGGGCCTCCCAGAGCTCCAGGACTACAGGCGTGAGCTGCCATGCCCGCCCTGCCCCCTCCTTTTTGAAATAAGGGTTTTATGCGTTTCTTGACAGGTTGGTGCCTAAACATTTAATCTTCCCACTGTCATAAGGGATTTCCTCCTTTGGTGTGCTTATTTGCATAAAGGCAATTGATTGCTTCTGCATTTGACTTGTTGGTGGCCTGGGACCTTTGCCCCAAGGGGTGTTTTGGTGTGGGGGGTTGCTGGTTGTGTCCCCATGTTGTCACCCCACCTGTTTCTCAGTTCCTCACATGTAGGGGAACTGGTAGTTTCATCTGGGGACAGATTCAAGGTCCCATTCAAGGTCAGGTGTTCTAGGGAGATTTCTTCTTCTGTGGTGATGTTGTTTTCATTATTGTCCCTTTGCTGAAGTCTCAAGAGACAAAAGCCTAAGGGAATAAAGCTAGAGAGTAGACACAGACCTTTTGATAGTCAGTCAGCAAACATCACAGGGTGGCCCCCATATGCCAGGCTTGATGCCCTGGTTAGGGGCGTGGGGCACCCACGTGTGGCTATTATTCCATACCAGGACACAGTTGGGCATGGAGGTCATGGACACTAGGTCCGATGGGCTGGCGTTTGGGTCCTGGCCCTTGGGAGCCCCTTCAGGTCTCAGGCTCAATTCCCCTCTTAGGAATGAAAAAGAAAACCCCAAAAAACAGCTTCCGCCATCAATGAGGAGCCGGGTAAATGCAGATGAACACAGCACCCGGGCCATAGCAAACACTTGTTAAAAGTGGCCAGGAGCAATGGCTCAAGCCTGTCATCCCAGCACTTGGGGAGGCTGAGGCAGGAGGATCGCTTGAAGCCAGGAGTTTAAGACCAGCCTGGGCAACATAGCAAGATGCCATCACTACAAAAAGAAAACAAAATAGTGCTGAAGGCCACAGAAGGATCTGTGCGAGCCCAGCGGGAAGGCTGGTGCCCCATCTGGGATGGGGGTAGTCTGGGTGGGCTTCCTGGAGGAGGTGATGGAGGCTTGGCAGGAACACAGTCGGACCACGAGAAGTGGGGGCAGGCAGGAGCAATGGGGGATAGTGCTCTAGGCAGGATGGGGGGCAGGGGTTTGGGGAATCCTCACTCCCACCGCCTCCCTCAGGGCGGGCTCTATGAAGCAGTGAATGAGGTCTACAAGAACCTCATCCCCATCCTGGAAGCCCACCGGGATTACAAGAAGCTGGCCGCCGTGCACGGCAAACTGCAGGAAGCCTTCACCAAGATCATGCACCAGGTGGGCCCGGGACCCCCGGCCCCAGAGCCCGGCCCCAACCCAGCCCCTGGGCTCTGCTGACCTTGAATCTTCTCTCCCTCACAGAGCTCTGGCTGGGAGGTGAGTCAGCCTTCAGGGGCCACCTCCCTCCGGGACCCCCCCCACAGCTGGCCAGCCCCGGCCAGCGACCAGCAGGGGGCGCCGGAGGAGCATGGCCACGGGGGCAGGGGCGGGGGCCCAGTGGGCCGTGACGCAGGCGGCCACATGCCCCCAGAGGCCCCCAGCGCGGATCTCGAGGGCAGCTTGTGACTCACCCAGCTGGGAGCTCTCCAGGGACACCGCACCCGCCCTTGGGCAGGGCCGCCGGGGCGCTGCGGGGGGAGGCAGCGTTCTCACTCCCCCCTCCGCCAGCCTCCGTCTCGTGGTCTCTTCCCTCCATCTCTCCCTGTCTCTGTCTCTCTCCCCGCCACCGAGTCTCTGCCTACCTTGCTGTCTCTGTGTCTCTCTTGGTCTCTGTCTCTCCCCAGCTTCCCCCACGATCTCCCGCTTCACGCGCCCCCTGCCCAATCCCGCCTCTTCCCTACTTGGGTCTATTTTTAGACATCTCCTAGTTTGGGGAGAGTTTTCTGGCCAAAGATGGCAGGGACCCAGAGTCCTGGCGGGGAGGCGGGCCGGCCGGGCGGGGGCCGGGCGGGGCAGGCAGGCCCCCTCCCTCCCCGAGTCCCTGATCTCTCTGTCCCATGGAACAGCCCTCATGGGGTGGCATCACCAGGACCCTAGGGGTTGGGGGCTCTGACCTCTGACCTCTCCCATGACTTTGTATCCCTGTCCCCCCCCCAAACCCCTCCGGCCTCGCCATGTCCTCCCCACCCCACCGGGACCTGCCTTGGTGAGTGAACCCAGAGCCACCCCACTTCCTTTCCGGTTGGAGGGTGGTGTCCGTGGGGTGGGGGTGGGGGGTTCTTCTTCCAAACTTGGGGCTGGAGGCAGTGGGAGGGAACACTCTGGAACAAGGGAGCCAGAGCCTCTGTCCCAGAGCAAGAGACAGCCAAATCTTCCCTGTCGTTCAAGCATTTATTAGGCACCTGCTGTATGCATCAGGGACATACCTGTGAGCAGTACAGCCCCAGTCCCGATTTCACACTGGGATCCACGCCTTGATGTTCTCAGGGTCCCCTGCCTGTGCCCATGACCCCATGTTCTTGGGGTCCTCAGGCCCCAGTCCCAGTGTTCTCAGGGGTCCCCTTTGCCCACCTCTTGCCCACCCTCGTCTCGCCAGGATGTCTCTCTGCATCCTGCCCCATGGGGCCCAAGGCCGCGTATGTCTGAGGCAGGGAGACCCCCAGAGGGAGCCTCCCAGGCAACCCCCCTCCCCGCAGCCCCAGCGCATGTTCGGGACCTATTTCCGCGTGGGCTTCTACGGCGCCCGCTTCGGCGACCTGGACGAGCAGGAGTTCGTGTACAAAGAGCCGTCCATCACCAAGCTGGCGGAGATCTCGCACCGGCTGGAGGCACGTGGCCGGGGTGGGGGGCGGCGCGGGGCGCGGGACTGCCCTGGGGCTGGGGGCAGGGCTGCGTGTGCCGGGGGGCCCTGAGTCAGCCCCCGGTCCCCAGGAGTTCTACACAGAGAGGTTCGGGGACGACGTGGTGGAGATCATCAAGGACTCTAACCCCGTGGACAAGTCCAAGCTCGACCCCCAGAAGGTGCGTCTTCCCGCCCGTCTCCCTGCAGCCCTGCGTTCAGAGGGACCCCAAGTACCGTTTCCTGGGGACCCTCAGATCCCAGTTCTCTGGGAAACTCCAAATCCTCTTTCTCGCGGGATCCCCAAACACCCCGGCCTCGGGAGCCCCGGGCACCCCAGATGCGAAGCCCCAGACGCAGGGAGGCCCAGACCCCGTCCTCACAGGGACAGGGCCGGCTGGGGCGAGTGTGCTGGGCCAGGGGACCCTCACCCCGACGCCGGCCACAGGCCTACATCCAGATCACCTACGTGGAGCCGTACTTCGACACCTACGAGCTCAAGGACCGCGTGACCTACTTCGACCGCAACTACGGGCTGCGCACCTTCCTGTTCTGCACGCCCTTCACGCCCGACGGGCGCGCGCACGGCGAGCTGCACGAGCAGCACAAGCGCAAGACGCTGCTCAGCACCGACCACGCCTTCCCCTACATCAAGACGCGCATCCGCGTGTGCCACCGCGAGGAGGTGGGCGGGGGACACGGGACCCAGGCGGGCAGGCGCCCAGACCCCGCCCAGTGCCCAGCCTCTTGGGCGCCCCCTCCTGTCCCCAGCGGGGTCTGAGCTGCCCGGGGTGGCTTGGGGTCAGGACGCCATCCCCCTCCCCCTCCCCCGCAGACAGTGTTGACGCCTGTCGAAGTGGCCATCGAGGACATGCAGAAGAAGACACGAGAGCTGGCCTTTGCCACCGAGCAGGACCCGCCCGACGCCAAGATGCTGCAGATGGTGCTGCAGGGCTCCGTGGGGCCCACCGTGAACCAGGCACGGCAGGGACGGGGGTGGCCGCAGGGGGACCCCGGGTGCCATGCAGACGTGCTCACGCGCCCCCCCACACACACACCCGTAGGGTCCCCTGGAGGTGGCCCAGGTGTTTCTGGCAGAGATCCCGGAAGACCCCAAACTCTTCCGGCATCACAACAAACTGCGGCTGTGCTTCAAGGACTTCTGCAAGAGGTGGGCCCCAACCCCCCGCCGGGGCTGTCCGTCCACCTGCCCCCTCGGGTCCCCTGCCGCTGTCTGACCCCCACGTGGCTCCTCGGTTCCCCTGAGCCCCACTGCAGGTCCCTCTGCATGCCTCGCCCCACCTTCTGGACGCCCCCACGCCCCATCTTGCTCTCTCCCCCCGCGCCTCCGCGCCGCAGGTGTGAAGACGCGCTGCGCAAGAACAAGGCCCTGATCGGGCAGGACCAGCGCGAGTACCACCGCGAGCTGGAGCGCAACCACTGCCGCCTGCGCGAGGCCCTGCAGCCCCTGCTCGCCCAGCGCCTGCCCCCGCTGCTGGCGCCGGCCCCGGCCAGCCTCAGGTGCCTGCACCTGCCACCCCCGCCCCAGAGGTCAGAAGGGGCAAGTGGAGGCAGGCCGGCACAGATGCAGGACGGGGGCTGTCGTTCACGTACGCAGCGACACGTGTGGTGCGGCTGCGGCTTTGCTCCAGCATCTGAGTATGTCATCCAGGGCGACTAAGGCAGGCCACCTCCCAGACATGCGAGTTCATCTCTCTGAGCCTCAGTCTCCACGTCTGTAACTGGGGATGATCTGGACCTCGCGTGGTAGATTCCAAGAGGGAATTTGCAAATCCCACAGCAGATCGGGATGGATGTGAAAGGGGCAGGGCAGACCCTAGAAGGGTCCTTGGAGGGGGGTGGGGGGGCGCGGAGGAGGAGCAGCAGCAGCAGCTAGGGAGTGCTATGACATTGGGGGGTCATGGCCATGCTGACTGCTGCCCCCCCAATTCCTCCTCTAGGAACTCTTTGAACAGAGCAAGTTTCCGGAAGGCAGACCTCTGAGCCGGCTGGGCCTGAAGCCACACTCGGGGGCCCAGCGCCCATGCCTCAGCTGCCTGTGCCTTGCTGGGACTCTCCCCCACTGCCCGCTCGGCCGTGGGGTGGCCGCAGTGTGCTCGGGGCTGGGCCCTCTGTCCCTCTATCTGTTCCCGTCTGTGTGCACTGATACTCCCCCTCCCATTGTTAATTTAAAATGGTTTTTATAAGCAACCGGAGCAGCGTGGTGTGGTCACTAGGGCTGCCGCAGGTCACGTGCTCAGAGTCCAGCACACAGAACGCTGGGTGCCAGAGGCACGGTGGTGACAACAGACACAAATTCCTGCCCTGGGGAAGCTGACATTCTAGCAGACAGGGCAATACACAAATAACGCTACATGGTTACATGCTCGCGTTTCGCTGCCTAAGCTCTTCTCAACGCTTCTTTCTGGTGGGCAAGAGGATAATCCCCTATTACGGACGGGGAAACTGAGGCACACAGAGCGGCAGGTCTGGCTGGACTGCAGGCTCCGGTGCAGCCTCGTGCTGGAGCTACAACCCCCTCCCGCGGCGGTCACACCACGGTGTACCCTGAGCGCGCTGGGCCGCTTCCAGCCCTGGGCTGCCTGGGGCAGGGGTGACCTCCCGCCGCCCGCCCTCCCGGAGCTGGGCCCCGGCCAGCCCCGCCCCTCCGCCCCCGCCAGCCCTGCTGCCCCCCCAGCCCCGCAGCTCCCCAGCTGCAGCGGGTGGGGGAGGCCAGTAGTGGGGGGCTCTGCTCGGGGGACTTGCTGGGGGAGGGGCGGCGAGGCGGGACCCCCGGTGCGCGCATTCCCACCTGCGGGCAGGTGAGATCCTGTCCCCCCCAGCTCCCCCCACACCCCGACTCTGCATCCCCGCCCCCACCGCAGCTGCGGGCGCCCGGGCGGCGGGAGGGGGCGGGGCGGGCCGCCGGGGCGGGCGCAGCGAGGGGCGGGGCTCGCGCCGAGGGCCGGGCGGCTGCGGCGCGCGCAGGACGCACGGGCGGCGGGACGCGGGGACAGCGGTGGCCGGAGCGCGCCAGGCGAGTAGGACCCGGGGCTGGGTCGGGGTTCGAGTCCTGATCGGGGTTGCGAGTGTGGCTCCCTGCCCCTGCCCCACCCCCAACCCCGGGGCGCGAGCGACCCCGCCGGTCTCGCGCCGCCTCCAACTCGGCCGGCTGCTCCGAACTTTCCGGACTTGGAGCGCCCGGTCCCCGCGCCACTGCCCCTCCGCGCCTTTGACCCGGTGGCCCTGTCCCCCTCCTGCCTCCCCTCTGCCCCGTCCCCATCTGCGCCTCTGTCCTCCCCTCCCGCACCGCCCCCGTCGCCCTCCCGCTCGGCCGGGCCGCGCCGGGCCTGCGCTCGGCGGCTGGGCGGGCGAGGGCAGCGGCAGCTGTTTGCCATTAGCCGGGACCCGCGGCCCCGCCCGCGCGGGCGGCGGCCCTCTCGGCCCGAGGCCGGGCGGGGAGACGGGAGGGGGCCCCCAGAGATGTCCAGGCCGCCGTCGAGGGGGACTTTGGGGAGACCCGCGCCTTTCCCTGCGTCCCCAGCCTGTCCCCTCTTGGAGTCTCGCGTGTCTCCGTCGCTCAGTCGTATCTCGCCTCCCTCCCCCCTCCCCCTAGAGGTCCCACGGTGCGAGAGGGGGCTGCGCGGCAGACACCCCACCCCTCCACACACCCCTTTATTGCCTTTCTCTCCTCACCCGGAATCGCTGCTCCGCATGGACGGCGATCAAATGACTGGGGACCTCAGTCTGCACATCTGGGAAATGGGTAGGGCGGTGTAGTGTGTTTGGTGGGGGCTTGGTGGGCAGGCTTAGGTTCAAGTCCAGGTCCAGCCACTTCCCCACAGTCCCAGTGACCCTGCGCGAGTCACTGTACCTTTCTGTGCCCATTTGTCCTCCCCTCCACGTCTAGCCACACACACCCCCTTCCAGACCGTTCCAGTCCTGCTTCCTGTCTCTTGATCTCTCTTAGGTCCCTAGAAAACATTTTTGACCGACTTCCTGTTGTTCGGGGAGTGGACGGGGACCCACCAGGCAGATGGAAACCCCAAATTTCCTACAGTTGGTGACCATGTGTTCCAGGTGTTTGAAAGTCAGAGAAGTGAGGACAGAGACGTGGAGAGACAGGGAGAGAGACAGAGACGTGGAGAGACGCAAAGAGACTTGGAGAGAGACTAAGCAAGGCACTAAGCAGGACAGGACGTGACAAGTGACAAGAAGGACAAGGACAAGCTCGCTGCCCCTGGAGCCCTAGCCCTGCCTTCATGCCCAGCAGGTGCCCCACCTGGCCCAACCTCCCAGGTACCCACAGGTTGGAAAGGGTCTGCTCTGGTGGTGGGGTGAGCCGGGGCCTCCGCAGCATGATGGCTGCAGGTCAGACAGCAGAAAGGACCGGCCAAGTTTAGGCGGGTTATACTGGGGACAAAAGACCCTGGCCAGCCTCCAGGACTAAGAGGGGCTTAGTGAGAGGCCCTGATTGTCCCTGCTTTTCGCAGCCTCCAGGCGCCCCCCTTACTTCCTCCCCCACCCCCCATGACTTCCCGGGCCGCCGGCCCTCTAGCCCTGCTGCTGCGCCCCCAGCCCGGACGCATCCTGGGGGGGCAGGAAGTTCTGTGTAGCCCGGCAGCGAAATTGTTTATTTTTAGAGAAAATTGTTTCCATAAAGGGGAAAGGCTTCACTCCTTGCTGCCTCCCCACTTGCTCTGCCCCCCAGACCCCAGGTCTGGCCTGATCGAGGGCTCTGCTTTGGGGTCACTCGGGGGGCCCCTGCCCCCTGCTCTGTGTCTCTTTGTCCCCCTGTCTCTGGGACCCTGGCAGACAGGCTGGCCCTCTGCACCCATGAGCCCCGGCCCGGTCTTTCCCTGTGGCGGGCGCTGGGCCCGGCCAGGGCGGGGGTGCAGGAAGGGCGGGGCCTGTCGGGCCTGGGGCCCCCGGCCCAGGGGCCATGTGGAGGCCGCGCTGCGGGAACAGCTGGAGCCTGTCCAGGGGCCGGACAGATGTGCATGGCGGGAGGTTTGGTTTCTTTGTTCCAGGCCTCAGGGTGCCCCTCCTCCGCCCCTTCCCCCAGCCACGCGGGGGTGCGCTTGCGAGAGGTCCCGGGCCCTGGGGGTTCCTGGGGGGGCTGGCCTGGTCTCCCCTCCCCCTGCAGCCTCCTCCTGACTCCCGGCTCCACGCCCCCCCCCCAGGTAAGCCTCGGCCGGTGCTGCAGGCAGTCTGACTCCGTGCCCCGAGCGACCCAAGAGGAACATCTGCCGGCGAGAGGATGGCCCAAGTTCTGCACGCGCCAGCCCCCTTCCCAGGTCAGCGGTCTGGGGGGAGCGGGCCCTGCCCTGGGGGGACACAGCCCTGCCCTGGGGGAACACAGCCCTGCCCTGGGGGGACACAGCCCTGCTCTGGGGGGGACACAGCCCTGCCCCGGGGGGACACAGCCCTGCCCTGGGGGGACACAGCCCTGCCCTGGGGGGACACAGCCCTGCTCTGGGGGGGACACAGCCCTGCCCCGGGGGGACACAGCCCTGCCCTGGGGCTCTGACATCGCAGGCGCAGTTGAGCGCCAGTCTGTTGGGCAGGTAAACCCGACTCCCCGGGCACCGGCCTTTGTCCCGAGAATGGGGACAATCGTTTTCAGAGGTGCCGGTGCTTCTCCCCGCCCCAGGGACCCCCGGCCCGGCGTCCCCGCCCGCCTTCCCCGCCAAGGAGCCCGACCCGCCCTACTCGGTGGAGACGCCCTACGGCTACCGCCTGGACCTGGACTTTCTCAAGTACGTGGACGACATCGAGAAGGGCCACACCCTGCGGCGCGTGGCCGTGCAGCGCCGGCCGCGCCTGGGCTCGCTGCCGCGCGGCCCCGGCTCCTGGTGGACGTCCACCGAGTCGCTGTGCTCCAACGCCAGCGGGGACAGCCGCCACTCGGCCTACTCGTACTGCGGCCGCGGCTTCTACCCGCAGTACGGCGCGCTGGAGGCGCGCGCGGGCTTCAACCCCCGCGTGGAGCGCACGCTGCTGGGCGCGCGCCGGCGCCTCGAGGACCAGGCGGCCGCGCCGTCGGGCCTGGGCTCCCTGACGCCCAGCGCCGCGGGCTCCACGGGCTCCCTGGTGGGCGTGGGGCTGCCGCCGCCCACGCCGCGGGGCTCGGGGCTGTCCACGCCGGTGGCGCCCAGCGCCGGGCACCTGGCCCACGTGCGCGAGCAGATGGCGGGCGCGCTGCGCAAGCTGCGGCAGCTGGAGGAGCAGGTGAAGCTGATCCCCGTGCTGCAGGTGAAGCTGTCGGTGCTGCAGGAGGAGAAGCGGCAGCTCGCCGTGCAGCTGAAGAGCCAGAAGTTCCTGGGCCACCCCGCGGGGCCGCGCGGCCGCGGCGAGCTCTGCCTCGACCTCCCCGAGCCGCCCGAGGACCCCGCGGCGCTCGCGACGCGCAGCGTGGGCACCTGGGTCCGGGAGCGGGACTTGGGCGTGCCCGACGGGGAGGCCGCCCTGGCCGCCAAGGTGGCCGTGCTGGAGACGCAGCTCCAGAAGGCGCTGCAGGAGCTGCGGGCGGCGCAGGCCCGCGGGCGCCCGCGCGCGGCCTGGCCGCCGCCCGACGGCCCGGTCGCGCGACACCGTCCGGGTGGTGGAAGGGCCGCGGGAGGTGGAGGTGGCCGCCAGCACGGCCGCCGGCGCCCCCGCGCAGCGCGCCCAGAGCCTGGAGCCCTACGGGGCCGGGCTGCGGGCGCTGGCGACGCCCGGCGCCGCGGAGAGCCCGCCCGTGTTCCGCAGCCACGAGGTCGTGGAGGCCATGTGCCCGGCCACCGCCGCGCCCACCGGCAACTTCCACGTGGTGAAGAAAATTAGCATCACAGAGCAGAGCTGCAACGGGCTGGCAGGTGAGCCGTCGCGGGTCGCGGACAGTGGTTGGCCGTCCCTCTTCCCAAGGCACAGCTTGGACCCTCTTGGAACGCCAGGCGGGGGCCACCCCCCTGCCCAGGCCTTCCACCAGACACATCACTCTGGCCCTCGGAATCTTTCTCTTAATCCATACGAGAGGGACAGTTGCACCGCTGACCTCAGGGCTCTAGGGACCTTGCAGAGAATTAGGTGGCTGGCACATTGCCAGTGTCCAGAAAGCAGGAGGTATCTGGCGGAAATTCCCCAAGGCTGTTTTCTGCTGGGCAGAAATCCTCCCTGTTTATTGAGTAAGTGGTAGGACTCAATCTCAGAGCAGTTTAAGCAATGAAGGAAAAAAAAAATCGTGGTGTTTGAGTAACTTAGGGACAGCTTCAAGCATAGCTGGATCCAGGTGCTCAAATAGCATCGGGAATCTAACTCACTTTCTTTCTCTTCTTCGGTTTTACTCTGGGGACTCCTCTTGCAGGCAGGCAGAGGAAGGTGACCCCCTTCGCTCTAGGCGTCTCTCTTTCCAGCTCAGTGGCCCTTCGTGGGTGGCCTGTGTCATGGTGCCCATTGCTGAGCCAGTTCCTGTATCCCTCACTGCCCAGCTATGCATGGATCCTGGGGGTGATGAGCCCCACCCAGGCCCTCTGGGGGTGCGGGGGTGCCTCCCGGAGGAAGTGCTGAGCTCTCGTGCCCGGAAGGGAGATGCTGGGTGTGTAAATCGCAGCTTCCCCAAGGCTCCCGGGGAATTTTGATTCATAATTGTAACGACAGCTGTCTTTTAGCAAACGTGGAGAGGCGGGGCTGGGTGAGCCAGGGACATTCTACGTCTTGCCCTGCTGTCCCAGGTAGCCCTGCCCGTGGAGTGGCCCGTGGAGTGGCCCAGGAGTGGACCTCCTCCTTCTAGAACCCTTGCTAACTGAACACATAGTCAATACTTGTCGCTGCTTCGGCTGCTAACTTTCAGGCCAAGTCCGTTTGTAGCTGGGGAAACTGAGGCTCAGGAAGTGGCCGAGCCAGGATTTGAACGCGGGTTGGCTTAGACCTGCTGCGGCCGGGCTCGAAGGTGGGACCCCAGTTCTTAGCCCAGGCCCGAAGGTCAGGCGGGCTGAGCCGCGCCGACACACTGAACGGCCGGGGCTCGGAGGCGGGGACCCAGCCGTGTTTTCTCGCTGCCCCGTGTTGCTGCCGGCGGGCCGGGACACCACCCATCTGTATCCGTCGCAAACACCCGGCCCTGCGGTTCTGGCCGCCAGCCAGAGGCCCTGCCTGGCCCAGCCTCGGAATCTCTGAGAGGCGACCTCCATTCCGGACGTGCCACCCAGGGCAGCCATGCTCTGCAGGACGTGCAGACATGGCGATATCCACCCCCTAGGCCAGCGGCCACCCCTGGAAGTCCTTCCTTGTGTCTCACTTCAGTCCCTCTTGCTGTAGCCCACCCCAGTCCCTGCCTTGCTTGGGCAGAACTGGAGTGTGTTAATTCATTCCAGCGTCTTCTCGCTCCACGAGCACTTCCCAAATGCTCGCCGTGTGGCAGACTCTTCCAATCACCGAGGACGAGGCAGTGAACGACATAGACGCAAAAGCCCCCGTCGTAGATAAATAAGACAGGGCAAAAATTAGAATTGTCATTGCAGAGGGCTTGTGTTGGAAGCAGATAAAATGGGGGCATGGAGTTGGTGGCAATTTGATGGAGCGATGACCTCAGTTCAAATTCTGGTCTTCCTGCTCCCTGGCTCTGTGTCCTTGAGCTAGCTGTTTAACCTCTCTGTGCCTCAGTTTCCTCGTTTGCAAATAGAGGGTCCTGACAGTGCAAATTCATTCGATTGATATGAGGCTTAGGATGGGCAGGGTGGCTCACGCCTGTGATGCCAACACTTTGGGAGGCTGAGGCGGGAGGATTGACTGAGACCAGCCTGAGCAAGAGCGAGACCTGTTTCTAAAAAATCAGAAGAAAAAAATAAAAGAGTGTTCCAGGCAGGGACACCCAGGGGCAAAGGCCCTGCGGTGACAGAGGCGCTCTGGCTTGTGAAGGTTGGACAAGTAGGAATGTGATGAGGCCAGAAAAAAATGAGGTGTAGGGGAGTCTGAGCATGGGGGGGGTCCCTCAGGGCTCGTGTGCTGTGCTGCTCGGAGCAATATGGGAACTTGAAACGAGGTAGTACAAGGACTAGACAAACGCTCCAGTAATGTTCATGCATCGTGTTCACTTACCTGGTGGCTAAATCACGGAGGGCTCCCTGGAGGAGGAGGCAGAGCCGGGGGCCCAACCTCCTTAGCATCCAGTGAGGCCACTGTGGTGTTTTTTTTTGGTTTTTAGTGGAGCAGGAGTTCACTCACCGCTGGGAGGGTGGGAGTCAGGCTGGCAGAGGTAGGTGGGGTGCGCAGAGGCCTGGAGACCCCACAAAAATCTCCTCCCCCTCCCACCTGGCAAAGGCACCACAGGCAGATCGGCGGTGAGAGAAGGGACAATGACAGCCCCCAATGTGTGCCGGTTGGGGGTGTCTCCAAAGCTTTCAGATTCCCTCTGCTCTTGTTCAAAAGCGTATTCCCGTGAAAGCAATTCATATTCTTTGTGGAAGGTTTGTAAAGTGTAGAAAAATCTAGAACAAAGACATAAAAGCCCGTACCCCCACCGGCACCCAGGTGTAGCTGTTGTCAGCATGGCTGCTGCTTTGCTTCCAAGTTTTTGAAATGCATAAACTAGTATGTTGTTTTCCAAGCATGGCAACGCAGAGCTATGCACGTTGCTGTTTTGCTGTCTTGTGTTTGTAAACGCACTCACAGCATGCCGGGACATCGTTCGATCCGGTTTGCACACTTTAATTCATTTAAATCATCCCTGTGAGGTAGGTGGCACTTTTGGCCCCATTTTACAGAGGAGAAAACTGAGGCAAAAGGGGAAGCTAAGGGATTTGCCCCCAGTCCTCAAAGCCGGGATTAAACTCCATCTCTGATTTAACGTTATCCCAGGAGAGTTTCCTCCAGTTAGTAAAGACTCTGTCTTTTTTTTGGTTTTTTAATTAATTAATTTATTTTTGAGACAGAGTCTCACTCTGTTGCCCCAGCTGGAGTGCCGTGGCGTCAGCCTAGCTCACAGCAACCTCAAACTCCTGGGCTCAAGCGATCCTCCTGCCTCAGCCTCCCAAGTAGCTGGGACTACAGGCATGCGCCACCATGCCCGGCTGATTTTTTCTGTATATATTAGTTGCCAATTAATTTCTTCTATTTTTATAGGGGACGGGGTCTCGCTCTTGCTCAGGCTGTTTTCGAACTCCTGACCTCAAGCGATCCTCCGCCTCGGCCTCCCAGAGGCGTGAGCCTCCGCGCCTGGCCAGTAAAGTCTCCTTGGACGTGCACGTTTTAACAGTCTCTTCGTTTTCTGACAAGCGGGGAGGCTGAGATTTATCTGGCTGGTCCTTGTGCCCGGCCATCCAGTTGCATCTGGTTGTTCTCTGCTGTCAACAGTGCCAGGAGGACGTCCTTTCTCGGGAGCACCTCGCCACCCCTGATCGGTTTCTCAGGACCGCTTTCGCGAAGGGCATTTTTGAGGACCTTGATGTCTTTAACCAGTTCGCTTTACACCCCCTGCGGGTAGAGCGATTTACATTCTGAAAACTCTCTTCTGGACTTCAGGAGCCCAAAACTGAGTCCATCTCATTCTTGACCTCACGACAACTGTCCCCACTGATCGGGGCACACCACCTCCGTGTTGTCACTTGGCATTTTTTCACTTTGATCTTCCACCCTCCACTCCGAGGGTCGGAAATACTTTTAGTTTTGCAGGCCATAGGGTTGGTCACGTTGATTCAACTTTCTCAGTTCTTCCTCCCTCCAACTTTATTGAAGTATTTTTTTTTTTTTGAGACATAGTCTCACTGTGTCACCCGGGCTAGAGTTCCGTGGCATCAGCCTAGCTCACAGCAACCTCAAACTCCTGGGCTCAAGCGATCCTCCTGCCTCAGCCTCCCGAGTTGCTGGGACTACAGGCATGCGCCACCATGCCCGGCTCATTTTTTCCTATATATTTTTAGTTGTCCAGATAATTCCTTTCTATTTTTAGTAGAGACGGGGTCTCGCTCTTGCTCAGGCTGGTTTGGAACCCCCGATGTTGAGCGATCCTCCCACCTCGGCCTCCACCTCGCCTGGCCCGAAGTATTCTTAATCTGCAAAAAATTGCACGTATTTAACGTGTGCATTTTGATGAGTGTGGTGCTCAGTTATGCCGTTTTGTAGCACAAAAGCAGCCAGAGACGATATGTAAATGAATGCGCATGGCCGAGTTCCAATAAAACTTTATTTGCAGACACAGAAATTTCAACTTTCGTGTGTCCCAAATAGCATCCTCCTTTCCCCAGCCACTTAAAAATGTAAAAACTGCACCCACGAGCCCTAGCTCTCCACCGTCTGTGCCACCCCCACCCCGTTGCGTGTCATTCCTTGCAATCCACCTTCTGGAGGCTCATTTAGATGCTTGGGTGTCCTGGAAAAACATGCCCCGTGCGTGTTGAATTTCCTTAAATGGTATCGTGCTTCGGAAAAACAAAAGTCTCTTTCTGTTTCTTATTTTCTCCTCTCCATAGGCTATTTTTGAACTTTCCATACTGATGTTTGTAAATGTGGCTTGTCACTTGCAATGGCCGCATGGATTTCTATCATGGATGCAACAGACCTTTTCCTTTTTGAATCCCCGCCTGGTGTGCACCTACGTTAGTTCCAACTTCTGGCCGCCGTGAGCAACGCTGGGGCCATCCTCACACACCCCTCCCCGGGGCTTGCTGGGCGTAGAGGATGCACAGCTTCGCTCCGGGTCCTGTCCGATCCTCTCCGTGCTCGGGTTCAAGGTGCCCATTTCTTCACATCCCCACCAGTTTACAGTTTTCTCCATTTTATTTTTCCCCTTTTCTTGCACATCCGACGCTGCTACAAAATGCTATCTCCTTATTATTTGTTGCTGCTGCTGTTTTAGAGATGGGGTCTTGCTATGCTGCCCAGGCTGGAGTGCAGTGGCTGTTCACAACTGTGATCGTAGCTCACTGCAGCCTCCAACTCCTGGCCTCAAGCGATCCTCCCACCCCAGCCTCTCTCCCAAAATGCTGGAATCACAGGCGTGAGCCACCATGCCCGGCATGCTGTCTGTTTTCATATGGCCTGCAGTTAAGAGTGGCTTCGATGGGCCGGGTGCCGCGGTGGCTCACGCCTGTAATCCTAGCACTCTGGGAGGCCCAGGCAGGCGGATCACTGGAGGTCAGGAGTTCGAAACCAGCTGAGCAAGAGCGAACCCCGTCTCTACTATAAATAGAAAGAAATTAATTGGCCAACTATATATTAGGAAAATTAGCGGCGCATGTGGCGCATGCCTGTAGTCCCAGCTACTCGGGGAGGCTGAGGCAGGAGGATTGCTTGAGCCCGGAGTTTGAGGTTGCTGTGAGCTAGGCTGACCCACGGCACTCACTCTAGCCTGGGCAACAAAGCAAGACTCTGTCTCAAAAAAAAAAAAAGAATATTTTTGATGTTTGGCATGGCTGAACAATTAAAAAAAGAATACCATTTTGTGACATGAGCAAAAATTTGTTGGAACGCAGCCACTTTTGATCACATATGTACCCCTGTGGCTGCTTTTGCGTTACAACCACTGAAAGGTGAGCCACGGCCACCAAGACCTTACGGCTGCTGTAGCTGACAGTGTTTGCTGTCGAGCCCTTTCCAGAAAAAGTTTATTGACTCCTATTCTAGAAGATGATCCCTTGCCAATTTGTGGCAGTGCAGCTCTACCCCCACCGACACCCTGCTGTCTTCCTACATTGATAAACATCGTCCATAAGGGGTTTTGAACCAAATAGAAGTCTTCCTTTTGTATGTAATTAAACCCATGGTTAATTTCATATATGGTTTGTGCCTGGAGGAATTTTTAAAGGAATTTTTCCCCATCCAGAGGCCCCCGATATTTTGTTACGCTGTTTCCCTTTAGTTTTTTTTTTTTCCCTTGGATTTTCGTCTTACTCTTTGGGAATTTCTTTCTTGGATATGGTGTGAGGTAGGGAGCCAGCTTAATTTTTTTTTCTCCTGTGGAGTTCAAGACCACCCTGGGCAACACAGTGAGACCCCACCTCTACAAAAAGTAAGAAAAGATTAGCCAAGCATGGTGATGTGAGCCTGTAGTCCCAGCCACTCGGGAGGCTCAGGTGGGAGGATTGCTTGAGCCCAGGAGTTCGAGGCTACGTGGAGCTATGGTGACACCACTTGCACTCTAGCCCGGGTGACAGAGTGAGACTGTCTCAAAAAAAAAAAAAAAAAAATTCTTTTTTGTGGTAAAATATACCTAACCTAAAATTTACCATCTTAACCATTTTTTTTTTGCCTGTAAATGTTACATTACTAGCCATCTTAGCCATTTTTGAGTGCACGGTTCAGCGGAATCAAGCACATGCACACTGCCGTGCAACCATTACCTCCCTCCCTTTCTGGAACTTTCTCATCTTCCCAAACTGACACTGTGTCCCCATGAAACACTCACTCCCCATCCCCCGGCCCCGCCCCTGGCACTCTCTGTCTGTGACCGTGACGACTCTAGGGACGTCCCGTGAGTGGGATCACAGCGTCTGTCCTGTGTCTGGCTTCTCTCACTCGCGCCACGTCCTCCACTGTCAAAATTCGTACTCTGACTTTGCTGGGTCTATAAATCACGATCCCTATTGCAGCTTTTTACTACTGCCAGAGGCAAGAAAAAGAATGTAAAATAAACAAAATATGTATGTAAATTAAAAAAAAAATCCCTGAGTTTGGAGCAGAGATTGGGCCTGTGCAGCAAAAAAAAACAAACAACAAAAAAAGAATGTAAAATAAACAAAATATGTATATAAAATTAAAAAAAAAAAAGATCCCTGTGTTTGGAGCAGAGATTGGGCCTGTGCGAGGCCCGCCTGCCTCCTGGCACCGCGCTGGCTATGTGTGACTGCACGACTGCACCCTGGCCTGGGCGACACAGCAAGATCCTGTCTCCTAAAAGACAATTTACCATCTTAGCCGGGCGCGGTGGCTCACGCCTGTAATCCTAGCACTCTGGGAGGCCGAGGCGGGAGGATTGCTCAAGGTCAGGAGTTCGAAACCAGCCTGAGCAAGAGCGAGACCCGACTCTACATAAATAGAAAGAAATTAATTGGCCAACTAATATATATAGAAAAAATTAGCCAGGCATGGTGGCGCATGCCTGTAGTCCCAGTACTCGGAGGCTAAGGCAGGGAGATCGCTTGAGCCCAGGAGTTTGAGGTTGCTGTGAGCCAGGCTGACGCCACGGCACTCTAGTCTGGCAACAAAGCGAGACTCTGTCTCAAAAAAAAAATAATAATAATAATTTATCATCTTAACCACTTTTAAGTGCACGGCTCAGTGGCATTGAGTACATCCCTGTTGTTGTCTAACCATCGGCACCATCTGTCTCTGGAACTTTCTCATCTTCTCAAACTGAAACTCCGGGTAGGGTTTTAATTTTAATTTTCTAATAGCCCTTATTGTTTCTTTTCTAATTTTTTTAAGCTTTTGTTTTTTTAAGACAGAGTCTCACTCTGTCACCCAGGCTGGAGTGCAGTGGTGTCATCAGAGCTCACTGCAACCTCCAACTCCTGGGCTCAAACGATCCTCCTGCCTCAGCCTCCGAGTAGCTGGGACTACAGGCATGCGCCACCATGCCGGCTCATTTTTTCTATATATTGTAGTTGGCCAATTAATTTCTTTGTTATTTATAGTAGAGACGGGTCTCACTTTTGCTCAGGCTGGTTTTGAACTCCTGACCTTGAGCAATCCTCCTGCCTCGGCCTCCCAGAGTGCTAGGGCATGAGCCACCGCACCCGGCCTAAAAAACTATTATTTTATGATGCTCTTGGATTAGCAAATGCTTCTCGAGTGTTCTCGGTGCACAGGCGTTCTAAGCCCTTCATGCCGCCTCACTGGTCTTTTGGTTTGTACACCACCACCATGGGGTAGGAAGTGTCATTCGCTTCAGGCACAGAGAGGTTAAGTGACTTGCTGGAGGTCACACAGCTCAGAGTTGGGAAGTTTGAGCTGCTGAGACCACCAAGCTCAGCTTGATCAAACCTTATTTCTAGAAAACGCTAGGCAGGATATCAGAGGGGTGTCTCAAACGGGGCCACGCGGTGCTGCTCCCTGTCCCTGGCCAACTGCTGACAGGCACCGGATGGGGACGGGGACTGGATTCTGCCACTCCCTGGGTGACCCTGACAACTCTGTGCCTCAGTTTCCTTCTCTGTAATAATCCAAGCCCCCTGGTGGGCCTGGAAGATTTGCCCTGTCGGAAAGGATCAGCCCTCGGGCAGCTCCCGGCCTGGGGTATGTGACCAATGGCAGCAGCTGTCACGACTGTCCTCGTTTGGCCGTTGCGGCCCTCCATGGACGCCTCGTTTCCTGTCCCTGCAGGTCTCCCACAGGCTCCTGGGGGGTCTTCCTCGCCACCCCCGGAGTCCACGGCGGCCTCCCCGGCGCAGCCGGGGGAGAGTGCAGGCGACACCGCCGACAGGGAGCCCGCCCGGCAGGCAGCCTGCCAGGAGCCCGAGGGGGCCGGGGGTGCAGGTAATTGGGGGTGGCCGCCCAGAGGGCTGGCGGCCCAGGGTGGCCCAGGCATGGACCTGGCTCCCCGCAACTCTCACGACACCGCCCTCCCCTCCAGGCGGGCCCCAGGCCGGCATCCGGTCCATCATGAAGCGGAAAGAAGAGCCGGCAGACCCAGTGGGCCACGCGCGGAGCCTCCAGTTCGTGGGGGTCAACGGCGGGTGAGAGGAGCCCCATCCCCCTGCTGTCTGTCCCCCGCTGAGTTCCTGGTGCCTTATTCCGAGTCCTCGCTTTGGTCGGTTACTGGATTTATGTGAGATGGGGTCTCGCTATGTTGCCCAGGCTGGAGTGCAGTGGCAGGATCATAGCTCACTGCAGCCTCCAACTCCTGGGCTCAAGCGATCCTCCCGCCTCAGCCTCCCAAGCAGCTGAGACTACGGGTTTGCCACCACACCTGGCTGATCTTCTTTCTATTTTTTATAGAGATGGGGTCTCGCTATGTTGCTCAGGCTGTAATCAAACTCTTGGGCTCAAACAATCCTCCCGCCTCGGCCTCCCAAAGTGCTGGGATTACAGAGATGAGCCACTCAATATGTCTGGCCTGGTTAATTATTTTAATCAAACTACAACAGATAGATAAGGAAACTGAGGCACAAGGAGGCTCAGTAACTTGCTGGAGCTCACTCAGTGACTCAGGAGTGTAGCCTGGCTGCAGACACTGCGGTATAACCAAATCCCACCAATCAGGCCCTTTTGAAGGATCCTCCCATCAGTCATGTGCACTTTAGTCAGAATTAGTGAACAAGCACTTTCTCCCTCCGGGCATCGGATGTTCTGGAGGCTTTGCTAAAGAGCCTGATGGGGTATTTTGGGGTTGCCAGAGTTAATATTTAGTAGACCAGGCAAAATTTGTCCTTGAGCCACCCACTTTTTTGGGGGACATTTGCTCCACCTGCCCATTCTGTCTCTTTTATTTCCCTGATGAAAATCTGCCCTTGGGAAATATTTCCTTCTGCCCCTGGCCATGTAGACTGAACTTTGGTTTTTGTGTCCACTTTCTCTTGGGGGTCTTTGTGTTCCCCGTGTCTGCCCCTTGGGGCGCGTGTCAAAGCGTGTCCCAAGCAAAGGGGGTCTGGTCTCCCCAGAAGGTGCCGGACGCGGCTCGCTGCCCTGATGCAGCTCCGGGTCCCCTGGGGTGCTGGGCACTGGCGGGCGGCCCCCACACGGCATGGTTGAGCAGGGGTGGCAGTGCTCAGGGCCCTCTCGGGAGGCACCGCTGGCCCCGGGGCAGTCCCAGTGGGAGGGGACACCTGCCGTGGGAGACACTGGGGCTGGCACGGTGGACGGGGGCGTGGGGACGGCTCTCCTGGGCAGAGGGAACAGCCCAGGTAACGGCTCAGAGGTGGGGAGACAGAGCGACAGGAGGCACAGGGAGCGATGACTGGTTCGGGGCCTTGAATGCCGAGCCCAGAAGGTTGGAATTTTGTCCAGAGGCAGCAAGAAGGGTCCCGTTGGCAGTGGCGCCAGGGTCTGAGTCCATGACACCCGCGTCAGGTTAGGGTCCAGGGTGAAAGGTCCCGACGGGCAGAAGGGGAGCAGCAGGGCCCCTTGTCCCCCTGACGACAGTCACGGCTGAGCGCTTGCCGTGTGCCAGGGGCTGCGGCCGCATCCCTGCAGCCCCGTAAGCTCCGTGTTGCTGTCACCCACCCTCTGCTGTTTAGCAGATGGGGAAACTGAGGCCCAGGGAGGACAAGGAGCCGGGGCCCTGCCTTCCTCCTCTGCCAGTTTTCACCCCGTCTGTGGCGTCTACACCACCCCACCCGCCCTCCTCCCTCCCAGGTACGAGTCGTCCTCGGAGGACTCCAGCACGGCGGAGAACATCTCAGACGGCGACAGCACGGAGAACGAGGCCCCCGAGCCGGAGGAGAGGGTGCCGAGTGCGGCCGCAGCCCCCTGGCTCAGGCCCGCGGGGACAGCGACAGCCAAGACCGGCCGGCAGGAATGCCAGCTGTCCCGGGAGTCCCAGCACGTGCCCACAGCCAAGGGGGCTGCGGGCTCTAACACGGAGGACGAGATCCGGTGAGTTTTCTGGGTGTGGGGGGCGGATTCAGGCAGGGCCAGGAGTGGAGGACCTCTGCCTCAGGTCCCGCCATTCCAACTTTCTGAAGTACCCTCCCATCAGTCATGCACACTTTAGTCTGAATTAATGAATCAGCCACTTTCTCCTTCAAGGCATCTGATGTTCCTCCAGGCTTTGATAAAAGAGCTTGATGGGGTATTTTGGGCTGTTAGAGTTAGGATTTAGGGGGCTGGGCAAAGTTTGTCCTTAAGCCACATACTTTCTTTGGGATATTTGTTCTACCTGTCCATTGTATTTTTAATTTTTTTTTTAATTTTTAAAAAATTAATTTTCTTCTTTTTGTTTCTTTTCAGACAAGACACTGGACACGGTTCCAACTACCTGTCCACTCTAGTTATTGTATCTCTCTTTTTTATAATCTCTGATGAAAAAATCTGTCGTTGAGCGATATTTTCCATTTGTCGCTGGCTATTTAGACTAAATGGTGGCTTTTGTGTCCACTTTCTCTTGGGGGGTCTCTGTGTTCCCCATGTCCGCCGCTTGGGGTGCGTGTCAAAGTGTGTCCCAAGTAAAGGGGGCCTGAGATGGCACCAGTTAGGTGACCTTTGCGTTCCTGACATGGCGTAGGGCATCGAGCCCCTCCTCAGGATGTGGGGAGTGGGGGTGACCGAGGGGACCCACGGGGGTGTCCCTGAGACACATTCTTCCCGCGTCTGCCCCTGGCAGGATGGAGCTGAGCCCAGACCTCATCTCAGCCTGCTTGGCCTTGGAAAAGTACCTGGACGACCCCAACGCCCTCACCGAGCGGGAGCTGGTACGGGCCAGCCTGGTCCTGGGGGGTCCCCACCCTGCCACCCCCACCCCGACCCCTTGCCTTCTCCTTGTCCTCGGAGTCCCCCTCTGTCTGCCCAGTGGGGACCCTGGGACCCGAGCCCAGAGCTGGGGTGGTGGCCCGTGAGTCACGGCCTTGGCGAGGGGGGACCAGGAGGCCCGAGGACAGCGGGGCCTGGCCGCCACTTCCTGTCCTTGGGGGCGGCCTCTGTACTTCCCTGCCTGAGTGTCCCCTCTTGCCTTTGGCGACCCGGTCCCAGCTAGGGGCGTTCGCACCTTCCTCTGGGTGGCGGGATGGCCGCGTCCACACCGTCCTCCGAGGGTGTCCCTGGGACAGGGGTGTCTACACTGCCCCTCGGTGTCTGCGCCTCCCTCGGGCGCCCCGTCCAGGGTAGGGGCACCGCGCTCTGCTCCCGGGGCTCGTCGGGGCGCGTGTCCCCACTGCCCGCCCGGGCGCGTGTCCCCGCGGCGGGGACGCCCGGCCTCACGCTCCCGCCCCGCAGAAAGTGGCCTACACCACGGTGCTGCAGGAGTGGCTGCGCCTGGCCTGCCGCAGCGACGCGCACCCCGAGCTCGTGCGGCGCCACCTGGTCACCTTCCGGGCCATGTCGGCGCGGCTGCTGGACTACGTGGTCAACATCGCCGACGGCAACGGGAACACGGCGCTGCACTACTCTGTGTCCCACGCCAACTTCCCCGTCGTGCGGCAGCTGCTCGACAGCGGTGAGCCCGGGGCTGGGGACACGGCCGCCGCGTGATGGAAGGACGGGGACACGCGGCCTCCCGGTCCGGTGGCTGGGGTGTGGCCTGGTTGGGGCGGGGGCGTGGCCCGCAGTCCGGGGGCGGGGCCCACGGTGGGGAGGCCGAGGTGAACCCGGCGTCTGGTGGCGGAGGCGTGGCCTTGTCTGGTGCAGGGGCGGGGCCTGCCCTGGTGGCGGGGGCGTGGCTGGGTCTGGTGGCCGAGGTCGGGCCATGGTCTGGTGGCGGAGGTCGGGCCATGGTCCGGTGGCCGAGGTCGGGCCATGGTCCGGTGGCCGAGGTCGGGCCATGGTCCGGTGGCGGGGACGTGGCCAGGTCCGGTGGCAGGGACGTGGCCGGGTCTGGTGGCCGAGGTCGGGCCGTGGTCTGGTGGCGGAGGTCGGGCCGTGGTCCGGTGGCCGAGGTCGGGCCGTGGTCCGGTGGCGGAGGTCGGGCCGTGGTCCGGTGGCCGAGGTCGGGCCATGGTCCGGTGGCCGAGGTCGGGCCATGGTCTGGTGGCCGAGGTCGGGCCATGGTCCGGTGGCGGGGACGTGGCCGGGTCCGGTGGCGGGGGCGTGGCCTTGTCTGAGGGCTCACACCCCCGCCCAGGTGTCTGCCAGGTGGACAAGCAGAACCGCGCCGGCTACAGCCCCATCATGCTCACGGCCCTGGCCACTCTGAAGACCCAGGATGACATCGAGACCGTCCTGCAGCTCTTCCGGCTCGGCAACGTCAACGCCAAAGCCAGCCAGGTACGGCCGCGGACCCGGCAGCCTGCCCGCCTCCCGCGCCCTGCCTGCGCCCCGCCCACGAAGGCGCAGGATGCGATTTTTGTTTGTTTCTTTGTCGTTTACTTTGAGACAGAGTCTCAACTTTGTCTCCCGGTCTGGTCTAGAGTGCCATGCTGTCATCATAGCTCACAGCAACCTCAAACTCCTGGGCTCAAGCCATCCTCCTGCCTCAGTCTCCTTAGTAGCTGGGACTACAGGAACACGCCACCACGCCTGGCTAAATTTTAAATTTTTTGTAGAGAATGGGGTCTTACTATATTGTCCAGGCTGGTCTCGAACTCCTGAGCTCAAGCAGTTCTCCTGCCTCAGCCTCCCAAAGTGCTGGGATTACAGGCGGCCTGAGCCACCTTGCCTGGCCTGGGAAACTGGGAGGCTTGGAGGAGGTGAGGGTACCTACCTTTGGTAATCTGACCCCATCCCACGTCCCGCTGGGCAATTGATTGAGCAGAAACCGGGTTCTCTGGGCTGGACCTGGGGCCTCCAGGGGTGGACAGGCAGACGTGGTCTCCATGTTCCCGAAGGTCACCGACCTCGCCGGGAGCATTTCAGGCAGATCGGGCCTCAGGGGCTTCGGGAAACTAACCGGTGTGAGAGCTGCCTTGGGCCGCTGCTGGGTGGCGGAAGCCAGGAGACCGCCGAGGTGATGGGGGCGTGGACAGGTGTCCAGGCTTCTGCAGGGACCCGGCAGGACAATGAGGAGGATTGGCAACAGCTGACATGGGACAAAAGAATGAAATGGCACAGCCAAGGGCCGGACAGGAGCCACCTTGCTGTATTTTTTATTGATTTAATGTCTAAACAATTTGTAGCAGATTCATTTTTTTAAACATTAAAACGAGGCCGGGGCCAGGCGTGGTGGCTCACGCCTGTAATCCTAGCACTCTGGGAGGCCGAGGCGGGTGGATTGCTCAAGGTCAGGAGTTTGAAACCAGCCTGAGCAAGAGCGAGACTCCGTCTCTACTATAAATAGAAAGAAATTAATTGGCCAACTGATATATATAGAAAAAAAAAAAATTAGCCGGGCATGGTGGCGCATGCCTGTAGTCCCAGCTACTCGGGAGGCTGAGGCAGGAGGATTGCTTGAGCCCAGGAGTTTGAGGTTGCTGTGAGCTAGGCTGACGCCATGGCATTCACTCTAGCCTGGGCAACAAAGCGAGACTTTGTCTCAAAAAAAAAAGACACCGTCAATCACCCAGTTTCTTGCTTTGCTTTATTTTAAATGTGTATTTTTATTTTTAATTGTGGCAAAATACACATAAAACATAAATTTTATCATCCTAACAATTTTTAAGTGTACAGTTCAGTGGCAGCAAATATAGTTACACTGTTGTGCAACCATGACCACCATCTGTCTCCAGAACTTCATTTTTTTTTTTTTTTGAAATAGGGTCTCACTCTGTCACCCCGGGCTGGAGTGCAGTGGCATCATCGTAGCTCACTGCAGGGTCAAACTCCCAGGCTCAAGCGATCCTCTTGCCTCAGCCTCCTGGGTAGCTGGGACTACAGGCACGCGCCACTGTGCCCAGCTAACTTTTTTCTATTTTTAGTTGTTTTGGCTAATTTCTTTCTATTTATAGTAGAGACAGGGATCTTGCTCTTGCCCAGGCTGGTCTTGAACTCCTGACTTCAAGCAATCCTCCTGCCTCGGCCTCCCAGAGTGCTGGGATTACAGGTGTGAGCCACAGGCTGGGCCTTTACAACTCCTTTCATCTTGCAAAACTGAAACTCTGTCCCCATTAAACACTCACTTCCCAGCCCCTGGCACCCACCATTCTACTTCCTGTCTTTATGAATCTGTCACCTCCAGGGACCTCCTATGAGTGGGATCACACAGTATTTGTCTTTTTGTGACTGCCTTATTTCATTCGGTATAATGTCCTCAAAGTTCACCACGTCGTAGCATGTTTCGGAATTCCCTTTTTTTAAATGCTGAATGATCTCCCGTTGGCCGGATGGACCGCGTTTCGTTCATGCATTCATCCATTCCCGGCCGCTTGGGCTGTTTCCACCTTTTGGCTTCCGTGAATGCTGCTGCTGCGAACATGAGTGTGCAAATATATGTTCTAGTCCCTGTTTCAACGCTTTTGGGTTCATACCCAGAAGTAGAGTTGCTGATAATGGAAAATCTATTTTTAATTTTTTGAGGAACTGCCATCCATTTCTCTACATCCCGGTCGAAACTTGTGATTTTCCGGGTTGGTTTGTTTCTTTTGGATATCGGCCGTCTTCCTGGCCAGGGGGTGGTTCTCCCTTTGCTTTTTTGGAAGGGAGGTGGGTGACCCATGTTGACAAGAGCTTTTATATCTGCCAGGCTCTGGTTGCTCAATCTGGCAAGGCCTCTCTCTCCAACACCTCCCCCCAGCTGATAAGAGAGGGCTATCTTTAGCCTCTAAGGCTTAGAAAGGTTAAGAACCTGCCAACGTCACAGGTAGACTGCCCAGCCAGAAACTGGAACCCAAGGTCTTATTCCCTTGTTAATAACTCACTGCCTTGGCCAGGTGTGATGACTCACACCTGTAATCCTAGCACTCTTGGAGGCCGAGGCGGTGCAACTTATAAGAGACAGGATTCGCTGAAACCCAAACAAGGGCCACCTGGTCTTTTTTTTTTTTAACAACCTGGAGGATTTCAGAGCCGCCTGGAACAGCTGGCTGGACACGGGCTCTCCCAGAGGTGACCGGTCGCCTGTGGCTTGCCTGGGCCGCAACCTCTCCCCACCGTTCTCTTTCGGTGGCGTTGGTGAGCCACCAAAGGGAAGGTTCCAAGCCTAAAACTGTGGCTCGCGGTGGAGAGGAAGGTTCCCTACCAAATATGCGCTGCCTTTGGGCGACCGGTTGGCCCGGCCAGCGGCAATGCCGGCCAAGGCCAGCAGGACAGATGCAGGCGCCCGGCGCTGGCTTCTCTCCTCGAAAAGTAGGTTCCTTGGCTTGTCCTACATGGGTTTTGCTTTGAATATATATATAAATTTTTTTTATTGAAGGATGTGTACCTAAAGACAAAGGGCTTGGATGGCCAAACAGGAAACCGGAGGGATGGATGGGTGGGAGTGATGCGTTGTGTGTGTGTGTTGTGTGTGTGGTGTGTGTGAGAATCAGAAAACCAAACCAAAGGTGACTGGAGGCAACCGCTGGTATCTGGGCGAAGGCTGCAGCTTTGCGACACGGTACTAAGTTAGGGCCTGTGTGTGCAGCCCGGGCCAGCAGCGGGAACGTGGGACACGACATAGGTGGTCTCTCTGCTTTTCTTTCTCCCTCCCCGCGGCTCCAGGAGGTTTCACGTGTATTCATAGCTTTGATTTCACTCGACCACGGTACGTCCATAAAGAGTATTACACTAAATGAAGTATTCTTTTTATAATTCTTTTTTTTTTTTTAGAAGGAAGACGAATTGAATAAAGCTACCAATAATGCCAACCAGTCCATGTCCTTTGTTTTATCGGCTCTTCTTTAAGCTTCAGAATAGATCTCTTTTCAGATGCCTGGTCCAGCAGTTTGGGAGTGCTCAAGCTGGAGTTCGAGACAGCCTGGGCAGCATAGCAAGATCCCATGTTTAGGCCGGCGTGGTGGCTCACGCCTGTAATCCTAGTATTCTGGGAGGCCGAGGGTGGCGGGATTGCTCGAGGTCAGGAGTTCGAAACCAGCCTGAGCAAGATCGAGACCCCGTCTCTACTAAAAATAGAAAAGAATAATTGGCCAACTAAAAATATATAAAAAAAAATAAATAAAGACTCCATGTCTACAGGAAAACAATGGAAAATGTTCCAAAGCTACAAACTGTTATAAGAATATCACAATAAACCCGTTATGCTCTGCCCCATACTGGTAATGTCCGATACTACAGCCACTAGCCGTGTATAGCTATTTCCATTTAAAGGTAATAAATTATATAATAATTTCTGATAAATAACCTCTGGCTGGTAGTTACTATACAGGGCTGCAGAGAACAAACATTGCCATTGTCACAGTTCTGTTGGACACCCACTGTGAAACCTCCGATAAATAATCTAAAATAGATTTTCTTTTCTTATGACAACTTGCTACGGCTGTAAAGACAATTCAAACAATTATGAAGTGTTGACACTTGTAGGGTGCCGTAGTCCCACTTGATAGAAATGCCATTGTCCACAGTTTTGGAGCATGTCCTGCCAAATCTTTTCTAACACGTTTTTAATTACTGTTTTTCCTTTTTTTTGAGTTATAAATGCATATGTTTTGTGGGCAATTTTATACAGGAGTGTGCAGTTCCACCAGGCGGACGTGGTGGCTCATGCCTGTAAGCCCAGCTACTCCAGAGGCTAAGGCAGGAGATCGCTTGAGACCAGCAGTTCAAGACCAGCCTGGGCAACATAGCGAGACCCCATCTCCACAAAGTTAAAATTTTAAAGTGTACAGCTCCACAGATTTTGCAAACAGCATCTCCGACTCACCTCACCGGGACAGGAAGTAGAGCATCCTCGGGCCCAGCCCTCAGTGACAATCACTCCTCACTGCTCATTTCCTCTGTTTTTCCCCTGGGCTGTTCAGCGGGAGATAACTGGTGGCCTTCAGAGATTTTTGGAAGTTCCAGAAATGTTCTCGAAGGATTGTATTTCTAAGTAGAAGGTCCACTGCTTTTGTCAGTTTCCCACAGAGGTTTTTGACCAAGAAGGGGCCTTTAGGAAATCAACTGTTTTCACAAAGCCCTTGCCAGACTGTCTGTCATCGTCTCTACTGGCTTGTTCAGCTCATGCTTAAGATACTGTCAAAGCCGGGCGCGAAGCTAACGCCTGAAATCCTAGCACTCTGGGAGCCGAGCTGGGAGGATGCTCGAGTCAGGAGTTCGAATCCAGCCTGAGCAAGAACGAGACCCGTCTCTACTATAAATAAAAAAGAAATTAATGCCCAACTAATATAGATTGCGGACGTCAACCTGCAGGACGACGACGGCTCCACGGCCCTCATGTGCGCCTGCGAGCACGGCCACAGGGAGATCGCGGGGCTGCTGCTGGCCGTGCCCAGCTGCGACATCTCCCTGGCCGACCGCGTGAGTCCCCAGCCCGGTGCGCCCCGGGGGAGGGTGGGGGAGGGGCGCGGCTGGGGGCTGCTGTCGCCATGGCAACGGCCGCTCCCTCCGCAGGACGGGAGCACGGCCCTGGTGGTGGCCCTGGACGCGGGGCAGAGTGAGATCGCGTCCATGCTGTACTCGCGCATGAACATCAAGTGCTCGGTGAGTCCCGGCCCGGCGGGGACCCAGGGAGGCCCGGGGAGGTGAGGCCGCCGCGCCCAGGTCCCTGTGGCTCCAGGGGCCACGCGCTCAGTCACCGCCGTCTCACCTGGGGGAATAGTCACTGAGCGCCCGTTCTGGGCCGGAGGCTCCCAGCACCGACCGGGACGGAGAGGGGTGGCCGTGGGGTTCTCGTGAGAGACGCGATGATCAAGTGGGTGGGTCCCAGCCCGGTCGGTGACGGGCAGTGCTGGGGGGAACATCAGACAGTGAAGGGGACGGCAAGTGAGCCACCTCGGGCCTCAGTGGGGAGATGGCATCTGAGCCACAGCCAACGGGAGGGAGGGAGTCACGTGGCCATCCCGGCAGAAGGAACGGCCAGTGCAAAGGCCCTGAGGCAGCACTGTGCCGGTGTGCTTCAGGAGCAGGAAAGGAGCCCAGGGGGAGGAGGGGAGGGCAGACAGGTGACACGGCAGGTCCCGCAGGGCCACAGTGAGGACTCGGGCTTGCACACAGAGCTCGTTGGTGAATTAGCCCTTTGCACTCACTTGCTTTTTATTCATTATCCACTTGACATTGTCCACACTGGACATCCGAGTGCAAAGGGTTAAAGGCCTTGAGGGCTGGGTCCGGTGGTTCAGGCCTGCAATCCCCGCAATCCGGCACTTTGGGAAGGGCCAGGAGTTCGAGACTTGCCCTGTGCCTGGAACACCCTTGCCCCTGGCTGGCCCCTTGAAGTCACTCCGGGGTCAGCCCGGTTGTCACCCTCCCTGACCACCCTCTGTCCACTCTCGTTCCCATGCACCCCTTCTCCCCACCCCCTTCATATCTTTGCTCTGTCATCATTGAGGAGGTGTCGGCCCAGAAGGCGGGGACCACACCCCCAGCGCCAGCCACCGGGTCACCAAGTCGGCGCTTCTGCAGAGAGATCAGAACGCGGACGCGGGACCGAAAAAAAAAACCAAAACCCCGTGCTTCACTTCTCGTTTCAGATCGCCCCGATGTCGGATGACGAGAGTCCTGCGTCGTCCTCGGCGGAGGAGTAGCGTCCCCTCGGGCCGGGCAGCCCCGGAGCGAGCCGTCCCCATAGTCTTCTGTGTCCCCTCCCTGTCCCCGTTCTCCCTGGCCGCCCCCTGCTCACGCTCCCCGAGGCCCAGGTCCCCAAGGCCAGTGGGTTTTTCCACCCACGTCCCTGGGGGGGGCGACCCCCGACGGCGGCGGCAGGACTCCAGCTCCAAGCGGGTTTCCTTGGCACCCGGGTTCAAAGCCGCCGCGGCGTAGACGGACACTGCATTCTTGTAGGAATCGGCGCCAGAGGCTGATGCTGGGCGTGTGGGTTTTATGGGGAACATCGAGAACAATCTCGGCCGGGGGAGGGCGAGAGGGGGAAAAATACTGTATTTTTGAGTCATGGTTGCGGGAAAGGGGGGCGGCCACCAGATTACTTGTGGCCAGAGTTGAAAGTCACTGGAATTTGCGTATTTTCATTTTCATCCTGAATGTCACTACGGCGAGGGTCAGGTCAGGGCTCAAGTGGCTTCCCCACCCCCCACCCTGACGTGGAATTGTCCGGCTTATAATAGCGTTTTGTCTGCTGCCGCCCTGTCCGCCATGGCTTTCTGGGGGGAATTGTCTTCTAGTCCCTTCACAAGACAGATCCTGTCCTTGTCACCCCGGGGCAGAAAGCTCCATCCGTTTGTTCTGCCTCCCTGCTGCCCCTGCCAGTGGGGGCCACCGGTGGGGTTGGGTGGCACTTTGGGGCAGGGGGGACTCAGGACCCTGCGGCCACGATGCCTAGGTGGCCTCCGTGACTTGTAGGGAACCAGTTCACAGCAAGAAAGAAATGACCCAGAAATCCGTCCCCTCCCCGCACGGAGGCCCTTGGCCGGTGTTAATTTTCCTCGAAAATCCTTCAAACCCGGAGATGCAGGAAAAAAGAATCCGGTTCTCAGCGCGGCCGCCGCGTCCCTGGGCCCAGAACTGCGGTTACAGGGCTGGCCTCTTTCCTCTCTGGGGCTCCAGAACTTTTCTTCTCAAAGGAAAGAAAACAGGGCATGTGTGTGTTGGCAAGGCACGCGGCCAGCTCCCAAAACCTCATGTGGACACGATTAAAAGTTGGCTGTCCCCCACCCCCCAGGACTCCCGGTGCAAACTTAAAGAGACAGGACTTCGCTGAAACCCAAACAAGGGCCACCTGGTGTTTTTTTTTTTAACAACCTGGAGGATTTCCAGAGCCGCCTGGAACAGCTGGCTGGACACAGGGCTCTCCCAGAGGTGACCGGTCGCCTTGGTGGCTTGCCTGGGCCCGCAACCTCTCCCCACCGATCTCTTTCCTTGGTGAGCCACCAAAGGGAAGGGTTCCAAGCCTCTAAAACTGTGCCTTGCGATGGAGAGGAAGGTTCCCTACCAAATGTGTGCGCTGCCCTTTGGCGACCGGTTGGCCCGGCCAGCGGCAGTGCCCGGCCAAGCCCCAGCAGGACAGAGCTGGCAGCGCCCGCGCTGGCTTCTCTCCTCGAAAAAGTAGGTTCCTTGGCTTGTCCTACATGGGTTTTGCTTTGATATATATATATATAAATTTTTTTTTTATTGAAGGGATGTGACCTAAGACAAAAGGGCTTGGATGGCCAAACAGGACAACCGGGAGGGATGGATGGGTGGATGGATGATTGTGTGTGTGTGTGTGTGTGTGTGTGTGTGTGTGTGTGTGAGAATCAGAAAACCAAACCAAAGGTGACTGGAGGCAACCGCTGGTATCTGGGCGAAGGCTGCAGCTTTGCGACACGGTACTAGAGTTAGGGCCTGTGTGTGCAGCCCCGGGGCCAGCAGGGGAACGTGTGACACGACATAGGTGGCTCTCTCTGCTTTTCTTTCTCCCTCCCCCGCGGGCTCCAGGGAGGTTTCACGTGTATTCATAAGCTTTGATTTCACTTCCCGACCACGGTACGTCCATAAAGACAGTATTACACTTAAATGAAGTATTCTTTTTTTATAATCTTTTTTTTTTTTTTTTAGAAGGTAAACGAATTGAATAAAGCTACCAATAATGCCAACCAGTCCATGTCCTTTGTTTTATCGGGCTCTTCTTTTAAGCTTCAGAATAGATCTCTTTTTCAGAATGCCTGGGATCCCAGCAGTTTGGGAGGTTGGCTCAAGCCCTGGAGTTCGAGACCAGCCTGGGCAGCATAGCAAGATCCCATGTTTAGGCCGGGCGTGGTGGCTCACGCCTGTAATCCTAGTATTCTGGGAGGCCGAGGTGGGCGGATTGCTCGAGGTCAGGAGTTCGAAACCAGCCTGAGCAAGATCGAGACCCCGTCTCTACTAAAAATAGAAAGAAAATAATTGGCCAACTAAAAATATATAAGAAAAAAATAAATAAAAAGACTCCATGTCTACAAGGAAAACAATGGAAAATGTTCCAAAGCTACAAAACTGTTATAAGAATATCACAATAAACCCCGTTATGCTCTGCCCCATACTGGTAATGTCCGATACTACAGCCACTAGCCGTGTATGGCTATTTCCATTTAAAGGTAAATAAATTATATAATAATTTCTGAATAAATAACCTCTGGCTGGTAGTTACTATACAGGGCTGCAGAGATACAAAACATTGCCATTGTCACAGTTCTGTTGGACACCCACTGTGAACACCTCCGATAAAATAAATCTAAAATAGATTTTCTTTTCTTATGACAACTTGCTACGGCTGTAAAAGACAAAATTCAAACAATTATGAAGTGTTGACACTTGTAGGGTGCCGTAGTCCCACTTGATAGAAATGCCATTGTCCACAGTTTGGAGCATGTCCTGCCAAATCTTTTTCTAACACGTTTTTTAATTACTGTTTTCTTCCTTTTTTTCTTGAGTTATAAAATGCATATGTTTTGTGGGCAAATTTTATACAGGAGTGTGCAGTTCCACCAGGCGGACGTGGTGGCTCATGCCTGTAAGCCCAGCTACTCCAGAGGCTAAGGCAGGAGGATCGCTTGAGACCAGCAGTTCAAGACCAGCCTGGGCAACATAGCGAGACCCCCATCTCCACAAAAGTTAAAATTTTTAAAAAGTGTACAGCTCCACAGATTTTGCAAACAGCATCTCCGACTCACCCTCACCGGGACAGGAAGTAGAGCATCCTCGGGGCCCAGGCCCTCAGTGACAATCACTCCTCACTGCTCATTTCCTCTGTTTTTCCCCTGGGCTGTTCAGCGGGAGATAACTGGTGGCCTTCAGAGATTTTTGGAAGTTCCAGAAATGTTACTCAAGCGATGTATTTCTAAGTAGAAGGTCCACTGCTTTTGTCAGTTTCCCACAGAGGTTTTTGGCCAAGAAGGGGCCTTTAGGAAATCAACTGTTTCTCACAAAGCCCTTGCCAAGACTGTCTGTCATCGTCTCTGCTGGCTTGTTCAGCTCATGCTTAAGATACTGTCAAGCCGGGCGCGGAAGCTAACGCCTGAAATCCTAGCACTCTGGGAGGCCGAGGTGGGAGGATTGCTCGAGGTCAGGAGTTCGAATCCAGCCTGAGCAAGAACGAGACCCCGTCTCTACTATAAATAAAAAGAAATTAATTGGCCAACTAATATAATGAAAAATTAGCCGGGCATGGTGGCCCATGCCTGTAGTCCCAGCTACTGGGAGGCTGAGGCAGCAGGATCGCTTAAGCCCAGGAGTCTGAGGTTGCTGTGAGCTAGGCTGACGCCATGGCATTCACTCTAGCCTGGGCAACAAAGCGAGACTTTGTCTCAAAAAAAAAAGACACCGTCAATCACCCAGTTTCTTGCTTTGCTTTATTTTAAATGTGTATTTTTATTTTTAATTGTGGCAAAATACACATAAAACATAAATTTTATCATCCTAACAATTTTTAAGTGTACAGTTCAGTGGCAGCAAATAGAGTTACACTGTTGTGCAACATGACCACCATCTGTCCCAGAACTTCATTTTTTTTTTTTTTGAAATAGGGTCTCACTCTGTCACCCCGGGCTGGAGTGCAGTGGCATCATCGTAGCTCACTGCAGGGTCAAACTCCCAGGCTCAAGCGATCCTCTTGCCTCAGCCTCCTGGGTAGCTGGAACACAGGCACGCGCCACTGTGCCCGCTAACTTTTTTCTATTTTAGTTGTTTTGGCTAATTTTTTCTATTTATAGTAGAGACAGGGATCTTGCTCTTGCCCAGGCTGGTCTTGAACTCCTGACTTCAAGCAATCCTCCTGCCTCGGCTCCCAGAGTGCTGGGATTACAGGTGTGAGCCACAGGCTGGGCCTTTACAACTCCTTTCATCTTGCAAAACTGAAACTCTGTCCCCTTAAACACTCACTTCCCAGCCCTGGCACCCACCATTACTCCTGTCTTTATGAATCTGTCACCTCCAGGGACCTCCTATGAGTGGGATCACACAGTATTTGTCTTTTGTGACTGCCTTATTCATTCGGTATAATGTCCTCAAAGTTCACCATGTCGTAGCATTGTTCGGAATTCCTTTTTTTAAAGCTGAATGATCTCCCGTGGCCGGATGGACCGCGTTTCGTTCATGCATTCATCCATTCCTGGCCGCTTGGCTGTTTCACCTTTTGGCTCCGTGAATGCTGCTGCTGCGAACATGAGTGTGCAAATATATGTTCTAGTCCCTGTTTCAACGCTTTTGGGTTCATACCCAGAAGTAGAGTTGCTGATAATGGAAAATCTATTTTTAATTTTTGAGGAACTGCCATCCATTTCTCTACATCCCGGTCGAACTTGTGATTTCCGGGTTGGTTTGTTTCTTTTGGATATCGGCCGTCTTCCTGGCCAGGGGGTGGTTCTCCCTTTGCTTTTTTGGAAGGGAGGTGGGTGACCCATGTTGACAAGAGCTTTTATATCTGCCAGGCTCTGGTTGCTCAATCTGGCAAGGCCTCTCTCTCCAACCCCCCCCCCCAGCTGATAAGAGAGGGCTATTTTTAGCCTCTAAGGCTTAGAAAGGTTAAGAACCTGCCAATCACAGGTAGTGCCCAGCCAGAAACTGGAACCCAAGGTCTTATTCCTTGTTAATAACTCACTGCCTTGGCCAGGTGTGATGACTCACACCTGTAATCCTAGCACTCTTGGAGGCCGAGGCGGGAGGATCGTTTGAGGTCAGGAGTTCGAGACCAGCCTGAGCAAGAGTGAGACCTCGTCTCTACTAAAAATAGAAATAAGTTAATTGGCCAACTAAAAATATATAGAAAAAAATTAGCCGGGCATGGTGGCCTGTAGTCCCAGCTACTTGGGAGGCTGAGGCAGGAGGACTGCTTGAGTCCAGGAGTTTGAGGTTGCTGTGAGCGAGGCTGACGCCATGGCACTCACTCTAGCCTGGGCGACAAAGTGAGACTCTGGCTCAAAAAAAAAAATAGTGCCTGCTTCAGGCTTGGTGAGACGATTAAGTCAGGGTGTGCCTGGTATTCAACAAGGGCTACATACGTGTTTCATGAAACATACACAGAATGCTAGCGAACACGAAATGCCATGCTATGTGTTAAGCAAAAAAAGCCAAATTCTGTAAAATAATATTAAAGAGATTTATTCTGAGCCAAATTTGAGGACCATGACCCAGAGCCACCCCCAAGAAGCCTTGAGCAAGTGGACTTGCTGTGGCCGGTTTGGTTTTATGCATTTCAGGGAGACAGGGGTTACAGGTAAAGTCATGAATCAATACGTGGGAGGCATACATGGGTCTGCACAGAAAAGCTGGGCCATCTCGAAAAATCTTGAAGCCAGGGCTATCCGGTTACAGGTGGGTTTAAAGATTCTTTGACTTGTAATTAGTTAAAGACATGAAGTTTATCTAAAGGCTTGGAATGTTTTAAGATAAGGAGCTGTTAATCCCAGACAAGCCACCGGATGTATATTTGTTGTGTAAATTAAAGACCTGCAGGTTTGTCTTGCATACCCTTAGGCCTGTTAATGGGTTATAAGGGGTGTCTCTGAGAAGGGAGGGGGCATGATGAGGCCTGTTTGACCTCCCTCCTCCTGCCAGACAATTTAGTTTTAGGATATTCCCTTGGCCCAGAGGGCGTCCATTCAGTCAGCCAGTGAGGGGGTGACCCTTAAGATTTTATTTTAGTTCACATATGTGAGGGTTGCACTCACTTTAGTGACATGGTCCTCTGAGTGCCTGTGAAAGAATCAACTTGGTGAGTCATGGTCAGTATTTTCTACAACACAGGAAAAAAAAAAAAACAACAGTGCACGTGTACATAAATTTAAGTGTTATTTTGGAAACTCTGAACTCTGCATTTGTATACTGGGTGTGGTAGATCGTATTTTTGAAAAATGGCTACAGAAATATTTCCAACCTTGCCATTACTTGCGAAGAGGCAGAGTCTATTGTCCTCACCTTGAACCTGTTCAGGAGTTTGTGCACCAAATAGAACATGGCAGTAAAGACACTGGGTGACTTCCAAGGCTGTCATAAACTAGGCTACATATTTTGTCTGTCTGCTTGTCTCTCTCTCTCTGTCCCCCTGGAATTGGGGGGGGGTGCCCTCTGGTCGGAAAGTGACTTTAGGTTGGACGGAAAGTGACTTTAGGTTGGACGGACGTTGTCCCCTCCCTGAGCAGGGGGCATATGAGTGACAAAAAGGATTACAGGCGTGAACCACCGCGCCCGGCAGAGAGCAGGCACTATTATTACCCTCATTTTACTGAGGACGAAAGACAGAGAGGGCTGACGCTTGCCCCAAGGTAACACAGCAACTAAGTGGCACAGCTGGGATTCGAACCCAATGAATCCGGCTGCAGACTCCATTTTGCTATGCGGCTGTTATGGAATTTACTTATTTCTTATGTTTATTTGGTGTATCCCACGCACGCACTGCAGAACATCAACTCCACAAAAAGCCGTCCACACCTCGCCCCTAGCAGATGGAGAAATAAACAAGGCTTCTACTGCCCCTTTCCTGTCTGCGCAGGCGCATCAGGCTGGTCTCTCTCAGAGACGCCCTCTCCCTGCGCCGATTGGCCATTGCGGATGACTGACGGAGGAGCGAGCGCAGGCGCACCAGGCCAGATCCGTGGCCACCACCTCCATGCTGATACGCCCCTCAAGACGCCTATTGGTCAAGACTCATGACTGACGGAGACTTAAGCCAATGAAAAAGGGAAACTCCGGGAAGGGGGCGGGCCCCGCCGGCAGTCAAATTTGCGCGGGTTTGGCGGCGTAGTCATGGCGGCCTTCCGCGACTTAGAGGAGGTGAGCCAGGGCCTGCTCAGACTGCTGGGCGCCAACCGCGCCGAGGCGCAGCAGCGGCGAGTGCTGGAGCGCCACGAGCAGGTGGTGCAGCGGCTGCTGGAGACGCAAGACGGCGCCGAGCAGCAGCTACGAGGTGAGGGCCGAGGCCTGCGGAGCGGGAGGGGCGACCAGGCCGTCCCCGAACCCCCTCTCTCCTGGGTTCTCCCATCCGCTGGCCCGTCCCCTCCCCCTCCCGTGGGGCCACCGCGTGGGCGCTGCTCCCTCTGAGCCTCAGTTTCCCCAGCCGTGAAATGCGCTTCATGACAGCAGCCACCCCTTCCCGCTTAGGGGTTTAGTGGTAAATGTAGGAGCCTGCAGGGCCTGGCCCCTTCTGAGCTCTCCGTGAGCAGGAGCTGGGGGGACTCAGGGTTCGAACCCGAGCTCAGGCGTCAAGGCTCCGGGTTTGAATCCCAGCACCCCCACTTCCCGGCTGTGCAATTTGAGGTGAGTTTCTTAACCTCTCTGTGCCTCAGTTTCCTTCTCAGGGCAGTGGTTGACACAGTAGGCCATCCCTTCTTCCTGAGGTCGTTGTAAAGAGCACCTGCTGGGCGCCAGATCCTGGGTGGTGGCAGGGAATAAGACAGACAACATCCCCACCGTTGGGGAGCTGAAATGCTCTTGGAGAGGGGAGGAGACAGGATAAACAAGAAAAGTGGATATGTCAGGAGGTGACAGGCTAAGGAGAAAAACTGGGTCGAGTAAGGAGGAGTGGTGATGTTTTGGGGGTGGGGGCAGGGGCAGCGGAGCCCTTCTGTGCAGATGATGTTTAAACAGGAACATGAAGGAGCTGAGGAAGGAAGGATGATGATAAGGATTAAATAAACACGTGGGTAAAGTGCTTCTTGCCTTACCTGGGAAGAATACTGGATAAATAGTATCATTTTCATTGGATCTAAGATGCCATTGAATGGAAGACTTACTTAACAGTAACGGGGAAAAAAGCTCTGCTAATAAATATCTTCACCTGGACCGATAGGACTAGATTCAGCCTTTCCTGACGGTGGGCGGGGCTCCCTTCATAGAGCCTTTGACCTCGAATTCAGCTAACTCCTTTTTGAAAAAAATTATTTATTTTTTTTTTTTAAGAGACAGCTCACTTTGTGGCCCAGACTGGAATGCAGTGGCCCAGTCATAGCTCACTGCAGCCTTGGACTCCTGGGCTCCAGGGATCCTCCCTCCTCAGCCAGCAGCTGGGACTATAGGCACCACACCCGGCTTGTTTTTTTTCATTATTTATATAGACAGGGGTCTCACTCTTCCTCAGGCTGGTCTCCAACTTCTGGCCTCATGCAATCCTCCCACCTTGGCCTCCCAAAGTGCTAGGATTACAGGCGTGAGCCACCGCGCCCGGCCTATTTTTTATTTTTTATTTTTGTAGAGCCAGGGTCTCATTATGTTGCCCAGTCTGGTTGGTCTTGTACTCCTGGCCTTAAGAGATCCTCTTGCCTCAGCCTCCCACGTGCTGGGATTAGAGGCATGAGCCACAGTGCCTGGCCTAAGCCGTTTTCCCTCACCAAGCCTCAGTTTGCTCATCTGTGAAATGGAGCTGCAGACTCATAGCACCCCTTGCTGGACTGATGTGGGTGGGGTTCATAGAGGTGATGCTTGCACTGCTATTCTCCATGCCATCATTTTTTTTCTTTTTACTGTGGTAAAATAGACGTGAGAGTGACCATTTTAAGCATTTTTTAGTGTAGTGTTCAGTGGCATTAAGTACATTCACACCGTTGTGCAACCATCACCACCATCCGTCTCCAGAACGTTCCCATCTTCCCAGACGCAAACTCTGTCCCCTTTAGACCCTAACTCCCCGTTTCCCTCCCTCTGCCCCGGCATCCACTGGTCTGCTTTCTGTCTCTGTGGCTTTGACGACTCCAGGGACCTCCTCCGAGTAGAATGAATCATGCTGAATCCATCCTTTTGTGGCCGGCCTATTTCATACCGAATAACGTCCCCCATGCTCATCCGTGGTGCGGCTTGTGTCCGAATCTCTTTCCTTTTTAAAGCCAAATAACATCCCGTTGTATAGACGGACCACATTTGGTTCATTCATTCATCTGTCGGCGGACACTTGGGGCCACTTGGGTTGCTTCCGCCTTTTGGCTCTTTTGAATCACGCTGATATGAACATGGGCGTGTATCTCTTCAGCACCCTATGTCCAGTTCTTTGCTGTATTTGCCCGGAAGTGGAATCCCTGGATCCGATGGTAATTCAGTGTTTCCGCGTGTTGAGAACCCACCATACAGATCTCTGCAGCCGAGAGGTCGTGATGAGGTCGTGGTGCCTTTTACAGCCACGCTTAACGAGGAGGGCTGAGCTGAGGCTTGAATTGCCCATGTAGCTGGCCTTAGAGTGGCTGGCAGAGTGGCTTGCAAATGCAGAGGTCGCAAGGTGGGAATGAACTTGGAGGCCCAGGAGAGGGCGGGGGAAGATGAGTGAGCGTCGCCTAGACTCTGCCAGGCCTGGCGAGCAAGTGTCCTGTCCCAGGCGGGGTCGTCCCCTCCTGCCCTCCTCCCTCTCCCCCTCCATTAACTGCCCCTCCTTTGATGGTTTGAGGAGAAGAACAGTGTGGCTCGGCCTGCCCCGGTTTTAGCACAGTGCACCAATTTGAGGCCAAGAAGACTGAGCCCTGACCAGGGCTTTGGGTGAGTCAGATCTCGTCCCCATCCTGGCTTCCGAGCTGTGTGCCTTTGGACAAGTCAACGAACCTCTCTGTTCTTCCCCTCCCAAGTAGGGGGAGGGATGAAACCACCCGCAGAGGGTCGTCAGGAGATCGCAGCCAGTAGGAGTTACCCCACGGCTGTCCCGTGGCGTACAGCGCACGCCCAGGTCACCGCGCTCTGCGATGGACGTCCTGGGGGAGACTTGGCTGTCCCCGGGCGGGGAGGGCAGGCCGAGGAGGGGTGGGAAGCCGAGCCGTGCGGGGGAGCCTCAGCTGTCCTAACAGGAAATCAGCAGGCACCGTCTGAGACGGACCAATCGAGAAACAGCAGCATAAGCACATTATTTAGAAATGTGGAAGTGGGTGCCGGAGCAAACAGCTTCGAGTTGAAAGCCGCCGCTTCACCGGGCGGGGAGGCCTGGAGACGGGCGTGTGTGTGTTTACGTTTCCACAATCATACGCACGTGATACTCTGATGAAAAACTAACTGAGTGTAAGCTTTTAAAAGCTTAAACATGGGTCCTTTCGGGAGAATTTTAATCTGTGCCTTCTCTGAGTTGGCCGATTTCTGGGACGCTCTGGGAAGGAACCCGGAAGCCGTCTTGAGACAGTGTTCTGTTTTGTTTAGTTTGAGATGGGGTCCTGCTATGTTGCTCAGGCTGGTCTCGAACTCCTGGGCTCAGAAGAATCCTCCTGCCTCAGCCAAGTAGCTAGGACTATAGCTTAAGATATTTTTGATCTTTCTGGGTGTGTTTTCTTGTTTTGTTTTTTTTTTTTTGAGACAGAGTCTCACTCTGTCGCCCCAGCTAGAGTGCCGTGGCATCAGCCTAGCTCACAGCAACCTCAAACTCCTGGGCTCAAGCGATCCTCCTGCCTCAGCCTCCCGAGTAGCCTGGACTACAGGCATGCGCCACCATGCCCGGCTAATTTTTTCTATATGTATCAGTTGGCCAATTAATTTCTTCCTATTTATAGTAGAGACGGGGTCTCGCTCTTGCTCGAGCTGGTCTCGAACTCCTGAGCTCAAATGATCCTCCCGCCTCGGCCTCCCAGAGTGCTAGGAGTACAGGCGTGAGCCACCACACCCGGCCTTTCTGCATGTTTTGTTGAAATCACTGTTTGTTCCGGGTGGTGCTACAGACAGATGGGGGATAGAAGGTGCAGCCTGGGATTTGGAGAGAGGAGGAATAAATAATTCAGCGTGCTGGGGGCTGTCGCTGGAAGCGCAGTGGCACCCCAGAGGAAGGGGAGGGCGCCCGGCTGCCTGAGTCTGGCGTAACCCGGGGGGTCTTGAAGGCTGGGCTGGGTATTCCGGGAGGGGCAGGAGCGCAGGGAGGACAGGAAGGCGGGGGCCCAGGTGAAAACCGTGGCGCGCATGCAGAACGAGCAGAAGAAGACAACGTGGTAGGGAGAAAGGCAGCTGGCGAGGGTGGTACACACACTAAAGGGGTCTGGACTTTATCTTGGAGACACTGGGGAGCCATGGGAGGTCTTTGAGCAGGGGAGTGACTTCCCTCTTGGCCTTTAAGGCGGCAGGCAGCAGAATGGGTTGGCGGGTTGGCTTGGAGAGACCACAGCAGGGGGCAGTGGGGAGGCTGTTAGGTTGGTCCTGGAGGGATGAAGGACCCGCTCGAGGAGGATGAGGGTGAGAGCTGGGTGGGAGGACGGCGAGCTGCTGAGCTTGGCTGGCTCGTCCGTCGTGGAAAGTATCTGTGCAAAGAAGGAGCAGGTGGTTAAATTTTTTGGTGTATTTAAAGTGTTTTGGTGAAATAGAAGCCGCGTGCGGGTCCCCGGTGGAACTCTGCCGGGTGCTGGGACACAGGACTGCAGCCTTGAGTGCCCTGTAGACGGGGCGGCGAGCCGCCTTCTCCTCTCTGCAGTCCGGGGGAAGGACCCACCTTCAGGCGCGGGTTTCTCTCCCGCCCTGCAGAGATCCTCGCCACGGAGAAAGAAGTGGCCCAGAATCTTCTGGACGTGAAGGAGCGGGCGCAGCAGGGCGGCGCGGAGCTGCAGCAGCTGGAAGCCGAGCTGCAGAGGGCGGGAGAGGAGGACGCGACACTGGCGGGCGGCCTGCGATATCCTTTCCTGCGAGAGGCCAGCCTCCGCCCTCCCGGAAACCCAAACCTGCCTGGAGCCCGAGGCCGGGCCTCCCTGCTGGGCCTCCCTGCGCAGCTGGGGGGGGGGCCTGAGGTGAGGGGCCAACCTCTCTCCACAGCAGGGTCCTTAACTCCCGTCCCACCCAGCTCACCCGAGAGCTGGAGGAGCTCAAGGAGATGGAGGCAGATCTCGAGAGACAGGAGCGGGAAGTTGACGAGGACATGACAGTCACCATCCCTTCGGCCGTGTAGGTGCCACGAAAGTGTGTGTGCGCATGCGCGGTCCACGAAAGCGTGTGTGTGCGCATGCGCGGTCCACGAAAGTGCGTGTGCGCGCGCATGTGCGGGCCTCTGCGTGCGGGCTGGTCCTGCAGCTCTTGGTTGAGGTTGTTCCTGGGGTAACTCTTTTCTCTTTTTCTTTTTAATGTTTTTGTCTTGCAGGTATGTGGCTCAGCTTTATCGCCAAGTTAGTAAAATCGAGTGGGACTACGAGTGTGACCCCGGGGTGATCAAAGGCAGTATCCTTTTCCTGGAGACACCGGGCCTGTGGCGCACTCGGGGGAGCGGGGGCGTCAGACGCTGCGGGGGTCGGCCTGCGGGTCGGGACGTGGGAACTAGAGTCCTTAGGCTCCAGCCAGCCGCTTCCGGCGGGGGCGGACACCCACGAATCGAGGCCAAGGGGGGCACTCGGGCCAGCGTCCGTCAGGACATGAGTGACGGACACCGCGGGGTCCAGCCACACACTGGAACGTGGTTCAGGTGTAAAGAGAAAGGAAATTCTCGCGCAGACCGTACCGTGCGTGAGCCTGCAGGACATCGTGCTCAGTGCCGTGAGCCAGTCACGAAAGGACGAATCCTGAGTGATTCCACTCCCGGGAGGTCCCCGGAGTCGTCCTGCCACAGAGACAGGAAGTAGGATGGCGGGTGCCAGGGGCTGGGGAGGGGACAGGGACTGAGTGTTTCATGGGGGGACAGAGTGTCAGTTTGGGAAGATGAGAACGTTCTGGAGGGGGAGGGTGGGGAAGATTGCGCAACAACGTGAGTGTGCTTAGAGCCGCTGAACCGTGCACTTAAGCATGCTCAGGATGGTAACTTATATGTAGATTTTTACCACAATTTTTAAAAACGTAGTAATTTATCAGAATTTAACTTTTGTTCATGAACATTGATTTCCATCTCTGAATATCTTAAAACTTTTCTAACAGGCGGGGCGCGGTGGCTCACGCCTGTTATCCTAGCACTCTGGGAGGCTGGGGCGGGAGGATGGCTCAAGGTCAGGAGTTCCAAACCAGCCTGAGCAAGAGCAAGACCTCTGTCTCTACTAAAAATAGAAAGAAATTAATTGGTCAACTAAAAATATACAGAAAAAATTAGCCGGGCATGGTGGCGCATGCCTGTAGTCCCAGCTACTTGGGAGGCTCAGGCAGGAGGATCACTCGAGCCCAGGAGTTTGAGGTTGCTGTGAGCTAGGCTGATGCCACGACACTCTAGCCTGGGCGACAGAGTGAGACTCTGTTTCAAAAAAAAAAAAAGATTTTTCTAAGGGCAGCGACCTTTCCGCATGGGCGGGGGCGGGGCCATGTGAGCCTGGCCTTCCTTACTACGTCTGCGCCTCAGTCCATCACGGCCCCAGCATCGCCCAGCCCGTCCACCTGGACAGCACCCAGCTCTCCAAGAAGTTCGTCAGCGACTACCTCTGGAGCATGGTGGACACCAAGTGGTAGCCCGGGCGCGGTGGCCGCGTCTCACACACAGCGGGGCTCTTCTGTGTGGGATCGGTTTCAAATGAAATGTTTACCTGTAGATGGTTTTTTTTTCCATTCAAACTGGATTTCTTTTTCCCTCAATTTCGGCCTCAGATCCCCGACTGGCCTCTGCCTGGTCGTGGGAAACTGACCGGGCCGTGCTGAGCCTGTGACCTCACGTCTGTGGCAACGCGCCGCAGATCCCGCCGCGGGATTCAGCGACAGATCCCAGGTATTTGTCGTTTTCGAGGCAAGCTCAGCCCCTTTATATTCGTTCAGGGAGTCTCTTTGAGCGGCGCGGCGTGGCCCAGAACTGTGCTGAGTGCCGGAGACTCGCATGCAAGGGACAAGGAGACCCCAGGGCCCACGGGGGATTCAACACAGAAGCAGACGCCAGCCTGGAGCCGGAGAGGGGTCCAGACTGCCACAGGCCGCCAGCTGGAGAGCGCGTGGGCTGCACGAGGCCAGAGCCACTTCGTGTTGGGACTCGGGAGGTGCTGCTCCTTCCGAGAAGCAGAGGAGGGCGGGTGGATTATGGTATGTCCGTGCTGAGGATTCTCCTGCGGCCGCCGACTCCCACTCCTGACACCAAAAAATGAAAGACTAAGGTGGATGAACGGCGGCGAGGCAGGAGCCGGTGGGGCGGCGGGTTAGGCGTGAGAGTGAGCTGTGTGTCCTAATTGAAAGGACACAGACCAATCATGGGCGGTTTTGCGGGGGGCGTGGAGTATACAGCTGGTCCAGAATCAGGTTTTCCTTTGGGGACCCCCTGCCCTCCCCTCCGCTCTCCGGGCCTGCGTCTCTGGGGCGGACGGCGCCGGAGACCGCTGGTTGCCTCCAGTTAAAACATTTCCCAGCCTCCTTGTGGTGAAGTTCCGGCCTCTGAAATGTACTTAGAAACGTTTTATGAAAGTTCTAGAAAGCTCCTTAAAAAGCAAGTACACCTTTTCTTCCCCCTTCCTGTTTCCTAGAATCTGGGTGTGATGGCTGGAGCCTTAGCAGCCATAATGCCACATGCAAGGCAGGGTGCCATCCTCTAGGGATGACACAGCCCGGTTCCCCGGTGACAACAGAGCCAGAGATCAACACAGACCTGTTTAAATGGGGGCGATGAGGAGAACAAACCTAAACTTCCACCTTGTGCAAGCTGCCGTTGCGGTTTCTCTAGTGCAAATAGCCAAAATAAACGCTCACTGACTGAGCATGCAGCCCGTGACGGGGCGGCCAGTGTGTTGTGTTCGCCCTCCCCCTCCCTTCGTGCCCGGGGTGCTGCTGAGCAAGGGCAGCTTGCAGCCTGCCCGTCTGCCCAAGGGTGGAGAGAGGTGACAGGGTCCCACTGACACCAGGTGCCCCCTGGGTACAGCTTTGCCTGAAGCCAGCAGACATGCGCATTACATGACCTTGGACACAGGCTTCACGGCCGTCCCTGCAACTGAGTCCTAAGTGAGTACAATTATTGGGTTTTTTAAATCACCCAGGGGCATTCTAGGCAAACAGAACAATACATCTTTTTTTTTTTTTTTTTTGAGACAGAGTCTCTCCTCCAGGCTACAGTGCCGTGGTGGCGTCATAGCTCACTGCAGCCTCCAACTCCTGGGCTCAGGCAATCCTCCCGCCTCAGCCTCCTGAGTAGCTGGGACTACAGGCACATGCCACCACACCTGGCTAAGTTTTCTATTTTTTGTAGAGATGGGATCTTGCTCAGGCTGGTCTCCAACTCCTGACCTTGAGCGATCCTCCTGCCTCGGCCTCCCAGAGTGCTGGGATGACAGGTGTGAGCCTCTGCACCTGGCAGAACAATATGTCTTGGAAGCATCTGAGCACATCAAGTGAGCACTGAAAATGGTCTGTTCGAGTGACCCTCAGGGGTCTTGGGGTGAGGAGGCCGGCCTGGTGGCCTCCAGGGAAGTGACAGCCCAGGAAAGGGTCATTTGTCGCTGAAATGTCACGGGAACTGCAGAATCCCTGCTCCTGGTCTGAGGGCCTGGTTTAGACGTGCAGTTAAGTGTTAAGGACATTGTGCCACATGACCCTGCGTGGCGGGGGCTGTCCTGGATGTCCTACGACGTTTGGCAGCATCCCCGCCCCCACCCGCCAACGCCAGCAGCACCTACTCAGCTGTCCCAACAGGACATGTCTCCGCTGTGCCTGGTGGCCCTGTGGGGTGAGGGGCACACGGGGCTGATCACCTGCCTCAGCTGGGACCCAGTGTGCCAGCCAGGCGTTGGCCCCAGGGCCGGCTGAGTAGCTGCTGTCACCTTCACGGCCACCCCTGCCAACGGGGACAGGCTGCCCCCAGGTGCCGGAAGCTGCCAGGAGCAGAGTGTGGCCGGCCAGCCCACGGCCGAGAGTCCCCCCCGGCGGGAGACCAGGCGCCTGCCCTCTGCAGTGGCCGGGAGGGAAGGCAGCTGGGGGGGCGGGGGAGGCCCCAAGATGAGGGCACAGCGACAGCAGCAGTAGTGGGTCAGCTCTCCGGTCCTGAAGGAACAGCTTTGCTTGTCCCCAGCCCCGGCAGCCTGGGCCTCAGTTTCCCCAAGGAGCAGACGATGCCATCCCAGGCTCGGGGGAGTGTGCCCGCCACCCCTGTCCCCGCAGGCAGGCCGGGGACCCACGTTGGGCGAGTGGGAGGGTGAGGAACGCGGCGGTGGCGGGCTGGGAGGCGCCTGGTCTCACGGCGGGGGAGAGGCCGTCCCAGCCTCGCGTGCCTGGGCCCTGACTCACTGGCCCTCGCTGGCCCCGCGCCCGGCGGCCTGAGGCCCGCAGCCTCCAGCTGAACCTGCTCCTCCCCGCCCATCGGCCTCCCTCCCAGAGCTGCCCCCAAAGCCACTGCCCTTTCCTAAGTCGCAGGCGCTCCCGAGCGCCCAGCCCGGGCCCGGCGAGGCAGGAACACGAGGGGCCAGGAGCCAGGTCACCGCCTGGCGCCCGCAGAACCAAGGCTCGGTCCCAGCCCCGACCCAAGCCCATGCGGAGTGTCTGTTTTGCAGATGGGGAAACTGAGGCACGGCAGGACGTGGACGCCCCTGGAGTCTGAACCCCACACACAGCTGTCCCCGAGCCCTCCCTAGATGCAGGGTGGCCGCACTCGGGATGGGGCTGGGACATTCACACAGTAGCCCCCGGAGGGCCCTCTTGGCTTCCCAGGCGAGAAGTGGCCTCCTCCGAGGAGTCGCCCGAGCCCCCGCGGGAGGAGGCCGAGCCAGGACGGCCCCGCGCCTGCGCCTGCGTGAGCCGACGGGACAGAGCAGGCTGAAGCCGTGACATCATTGGCAGTCGCGTGTTCACGCGCCACCCGGCCTGGCTCACGACCCGTGTTTCTGGAGAGAAGAGCCCAGGTGACACGGAGTCTGGAGGCCGGGCCTCTGGAACTGGCCTCCCGCTGGCTGAGCGGCTTGGCCTGGGGCCCAGACTCCCCCTAGTCGCCTTTCGGGCCTGCCGGGAGGAGGCGAGTCCTCGGGACAGCTGGGGGCCACGCCCTCTGTCCGGCCCTCCAGGACACCCCCCAGCCCCCCACTTCTGGAGGAAGACGGGTCTCCAGCGCCCGGACCAGAGAGCTCGCCTGCGCACAGGACACGCGTGTCTGACGCCAGATTTGAGCCCGGGGTTGTCAGAGCTGAAGCCTCGGTTTCCCCTCTGGGCCGGACTGGCTGGGGTGCGAGGAAGCTGGTTCCCGGGTCGCTGGCCTGACAGTGCTGGGTTCCCGGGCCCGTCTGCAGTCTGGGACTACGGCCTGCAGGTGACCGGCCTGGGCACGCGGCCCGGGCCCTGCCGCGGCCTCCCCGCTATTTACTCAGAAGTGTGGACGGGACATCTGTGACCTGCCAGGCCACCCCTGCTCCCCCCCTGAGGAAGCCGGGACAAGGCCAAGCGAGTGCTGTGTGCCCAGCTCCGGGTTATCTTACAGACGAGGAAACTGAGGCATGGGGTGTCGGGGGAGTCACGCTATTAGTCTCAGTTGTCACCGCTGGTATGTGGCAGAGCCAGCGTTTTAATCTGAGCTGTGTGGACCCAGAGCTTGTGCTCTTAATCCCAACCTGAGAGCGAGATCGTTTCAGTGAGTGATAAGTGAGCTAAAGAAAATAAAAACACTATGGAGGGGGAGGGCTCTGTGGGAGGCCACAGGGAGGAGGCATCATTTGATCCTGGACCTGCAGGGGTGGACACAGTGACCCAGGCAGGGGACACAGCAAGTGCAAAATGACACCAGAGAGGGCTGGAGGGCAGGACGCCTTGATCAAGCCAGACCTGCCGTCCACAGTGGGATTTTTTTTTCAGATTCTAAGAATGGCCCGGGCACTAGGAAAAGGAAACTTGACATTGGCCTCTTGACACAGGTTGCAGCGCAGCGGCAGGACCTAAGTGGCTGATCGCACAACCCCCAAGCTCCGCCCGCCCCATCCCAGGTGCATCCTGGGAGCCTAGGCCAGGGGCAGGGGGCGTGGCCACGGAGCTGCCCACCCTGCCCAGTGGCCGGTGAGAACTCACACTCTTACTCCCTCGTCACCATAGAAAATCACTGCCTGCGAGTGGGGGGCGGTGTATGGGGGCCCCTCCCCTCCCCCCATACCCCCCCTTCCTGCCCGCAGCCGGGGCTCAGGCTGACTCACTGCAGACAGCTGTGGTGGGGGACGGGGCCAGCTGGAAGGGACATTGGGCCTGGGGACAGCTCGTGGGGTGGGGTGTGTGCAGTAGAAGACACCCGTTGGGGATGTCGTGCTTGGGGGGCAGCTTCTTGTCGCCACCTACTGGTCCTGGCTAGAGCTGTTGAGCCCCCCCAGATGGCCCAGCCCTCGTCCCGTCCACGAGGGTGGCGGTCCCCACGAGAGTGGCGGTCCCCAGGCTGCAGGCCGCGCCCCAGCAGAGCGGGCGCGCCCGGGTGAGTGGGTGCGCGCTGAGCCCCCAGACCCGGGAGTGGGCGGCGTGTCCCCGCTGGCGACCCCGCTCACCCGGGGCCCCCTTGGGAACCCAGAGAACGGCAGCCACCGAGAGGCTCCGAAACGGCCACAGCGACCCCATTCCCGTGCGCAAAGGGGGCGTGTGTCACCGGCCCCTCAGGGAGCCACGGTGGGGGCGGGCCAGGAAGCTCTGAGCACCTGCGTGTCTGAGCGGGGTTTGGGGTTTGGGGACACCTCCTTCCCCAGCAAACAGCCCAGGCCGGAGCCCGGAGACTCCCACCGCGTCTGGCCGCCCCCACGGGCCGTGTCCCACCCGGCTGTGCTCCCGGTCCCCCCATTGCCCGCTGCCTGGGGACGCCCAGATCTGCGCGCCCTCCAATCCGGGGGCCCTGGAGCCACCTCCCCGGCGCCCCCGGGTTCCAGGCCACCCGAGATCATTTATCCCATTTGCCACTCGGTTGAGCGCTGATTTATTCCAGCGAGCAATTATTGAGCGCCTGTGTGCAGGCCGCGCCACTTCCTGTGTGGGCTCTTTGGGTTTCGCTCCCAGAGGCGTTTCTGGAAGCTTCCCAAGACAAAAGGCGGAAGGCAGGAAGGAAGTGCCACCCTGTGGACGCTGGAAAGATGACAGTCCCTGCCTTTGTCTCCGGGCCTGTAGAGCCCCCAGCCCAGCCCCTCACGCAGCCCGGGAGGCGGAGATTAGCCTCAGTGTCAGCTGGGGAAACTGAGGCTCCGAGGTGCCCAAGTCACTGAGCGAATCAGTGGCAGAGCCAGGGTATGAACACAGGCGGCCTGGCCAGTCTGTGCTCTATTGTTTATTTATGTATTTATTTATTTCAGGCTGGTGTGGTACAGTGGCACGAGCTCAGCTCACTGCAGCCAGACTCCTGGCCTCAACCGATCCTCCCGCCTCAGCCTCCCCAGTAGCTGGGACCACCACACCCAGCTAATTTTTTTCCCTTATTTTTTGTAGAGATGGGGTCTTGCTACATTGCCCAGGCTGGACTCGAACTTCTGGCCTCAAGGATTTTTCCTGCCTGGGCCTCCCAGAGTGCTGGGATTACAGGCGGGAGCCACCGCGCCCGGCCCGTAACCCTTTTTAAGTGCATACTTCAGTGGCGTTGAGCACATTCTCACTGTTCTGCGGCCATCACCACCCTCCGTCTCCAGAACTTTCTCATCTGCCCAAACTGAAACTCTGTCCCCATGACACACTCACTCCCTGTCCCCTCCCCAGCCCCTGGCCCCCACCATGCTACTTCCTGTCTCTGTGAATTGGACGACTCTGGGGACCTCCTGTGAATGGAATCACACGGGGTTTGTCCCCAAGTTTACCCATCTCGTAGCATGTGTCAGAATTTCCTTCCTCTTTAAACCTGAATAATATCCCATTGTATGGAATAACAACAATAATAAATTAACATAAATTTAAATAATACTGCATAATATGGATGAAACGCATCTTGCTCGTCCATTCATAGGTTGTTTGTACCTTTCGACTATTGCGACTGACATTCCTACGAACGCGGGTGTGCAAGTGACTGTTCGCCTTCTTGCTTTCAATTATTTTGGGGAATACACCCAGGGGTGGAATTGCTGGATCATTCGGTGATTGTGTTTCGGGTTTTGTCTTTTTTTTTTTTTTTTTGAGGACCTGCAATATAGTGTTCCACGTTCCCACGCCCTCCCCAACACTGGTTCTCTCTCTTTTTGTTTTTTTTTTTTTTGAGACAGAGTCTCGCTTTGTTGCCCAGGCTAGAGTGAGTGCCGTGGCGTCAGCCTCGCTCACAGCAACCTCAACTCCTGGGCTCGAGCGATCCTCCTGCCTCAGCCTCCCGAGTAGCTGGGACTACAGGCATGCGCGCCAACATGCCCGGCTAATTTTTTCTATATATATTAGTTGGCCAATTAATTTCTTTCTATTTATAGTAGAGATGGGGTTTCGCTCTTGGTTTCGAACTCCTGACCTCGAGCGATCCTCCAGCCTCGGCCTCCCAGAGTGCTAGGCTTACAGGCGTGAGCCACCGCGCCCGGCCCTCTTTTGTTTTGAGCCTCAGCCACTCCACTGAGTGCAAGCTGGCATCTCATTCTGGTTTTGCCACCTTTGGGTTTTTACTTTTTCTTTTCTTTTTTTTACAGACAGGGTTCTCACCGGTTGCCCAAGCGCATCTCAAAGCCCTGGCCTCAAGCCAGTAGGTGGGATTACAGGTGCGCGTCATTGTGCCTGGCCTATTCGGTCTTTTGCTATTATTTATTTATTTACTTTTAGAGAAGACATCCCGCTGTGCCGCCCAGGCTGGAGTGCGGTCGTGCAGTCATAGCTCGCTACAGCCTCCAACTCCCGGACTTAAGTGATCCTCCTGCCTCAGCCTCCTGAGAAGTTGGAACTATAGGGGTGCACCATCACGCCTGGCATATTTGGTCTTTTATACTGAGTTCCTTGTATTAAATTCTTTTTATTTATTTATTTTGTAGAGATGGGATTTTGCCATGTTGCCCAGGCTGGCCTTGAACTCCTAGCTTGAAGAGATCCTCTCACCTCAAGCTCCTGAGTAGTTGGGACTCCAGGGCAATCCACTGTACTGGCTTTGAGGCTTTTTTTTTTTTTTTTGAGATAGAGTCTCACTCTGTCGCCCAGGCTACAGTGCTGTGGCGTGTCAGCCTAGCTCAGAGCAACCTCAACCTCCTGGGCTCAAGCGATCATCCTGCCTCAGCCTCCCAAGTAGCTGGGACCACAGGCATGCACCACCATGCCCGGCTAATTTTTTCTATATATATTTTAGTTGGCCAATTAATTTCTATTTATAGTAGAGACCGGGTCTCGCTCTTGCTCAGGCTGGTTTCGAACTCCTGACCTCGGGCAATCCTCCCGCCTCGGCCTCCCAGAGTGCTGGGATGACAGGCGTGAGCCACCGCGCCCGGTCAGGCTGTGAGTTTTGTATCTTAGCACAGGGATGAATTTGATGCCCCAAACCCCGGCTCAGCACGTCACCCGCCAGGAATCACCGCGCCTGCCCAGAGGCCGCTGTCGGGGTAAATGTCCCCTTCCTTGTCCCAGGGAGTCGAACCCGTGAACAGAGGGAGGAGACGAGCAAGTGTAGGAAGAAACTGCGCCGGATGCAGCCAAACGGTTCCTTTAAGAAGTTTAATCGATCGCAGTAAGACCTTCAGGCTATAAAAACCTTCTACACAGTGGTTTCAAAAGTGACTCCCGTCCCCAAGTGCAACCCCGACGTAGGACACGGACGTCATTCCCCTTGCAGAGCCTGGCGCAGAGTCCGGTCCGTGCGAGCGACCTCTGTACATAACGACAAGGCATCTCGGCGACGGTCACCCCGAGTGCAGCCACTGAACCAACGCAGCGACCCGGGTTTGCAAAAATAAATAGACTTTATATACACACACATACACAAGTGACAACGGCTTCAAAGTGCAAACAAAACCGGAGGGCCCGCGACAGCGCAGGGCCCCATGTACATGCTTCCGAGAGAGGCAGGCTCTGGCGCTTTCCTGCGGGCCGGTGAACAGTCCCCGTCCCCCGCGACATTCCCACGGTTCCCACGCGGGAAGCCCCGAGCGCCATCCGCGGCCGCCACACGGGAGGGCTGCAGCCCGGGCCGCGAGTGGCGTTTGCATAGAAGTGGAAACGCCGGCCGGGCAGACGCACAGGAAGGAAACGGGAAAATGCCATTTCTACATCACCGTGGCCGTGGCCCTGACCCGAGACCTCCGTCCTCCCCGAGCGTCCACCGACTCGCGGGCGTTCTCTGGCCCGAGGTCCCCGCCCGACGCAGGCGACAGGAGCAGTGCAAAATAGTGACGCAGGCGCGACGCCGTCACGGCGACTCGAGGTCAGAGCGCGGGGAGGCGAGAGGAACGGGGGGCCGGGGGTGGGAGTGGAGGAGAGGCCGGGGCCCCACGGCCACAGCCGGCCACGCGTCCTCACACGCAAGGTCACTGGTGTCGCAGGCACTTAATAGACGTTAAGGGCGGCCGGCGGGTGACGGGGGCTTTCCCTCCGGGAACCGGAACCGTTTTGGGGAGCGGATCGGTCCCGGCAGGTGCCACGCCCGGCACTGTGGATTCCACCCGGGTGGCGCCGCGGTCCCTCTCCTGGCTAAGGCAGGCACAGCCCCGGCTTGAATGACCCCGAGTGTCGGCCCTGGCTGGGGGTGACAGGGCGGAGGCTGAGCGGGGCCGTCCAGCGAGGGGGCGAGGCCGAGGTAAACACACTGACTCCTGAGTTTGGGGGCGGCGCCCACAGCAGCGCCCGGCCCGGCTGTCGCAGGTTCGAAGCCCCGTCCTGTCCTGCACGCGACAGGTGAGTGGAGGCGCAGAGAAGCCGCGATCTCCCCCGGGGAGAGACGGAGACCCCAGTCCCCTCCCCCTTCACGCAGAAAGAAACCAAAGGTCCCACCGAAACCCGGGGCGCGGGGCGAGAGGGGCCGCGGCGCCTCCCAGAGGAATAAATATATGAAACACAACTCTGGCAGGCGCGCGCCTCTGGGCTCCGGCTGCGGCCGCACCGTTGGTCTTTTCTCGGAGCAGGAGGCCGTGAACTTGAACTTGAACGTCAAAGAGGCCTCAGGAAGGGCCTTGGGCAGGGAGGAGAAAGTGTTCTTCCTGCCCCCAAGCGGCAGCAGGTCCCGGGAGGGCCAGGACGAGGCCAGTGTGACCGAGGCCAGTGTTCACGCCACGTCTTCTTCCAGGCTGACCATCTGTCTCTGTCAACAAGACGGTAAACGCCGGAAACCATCAGAGCCACATTCAGGAAACACCGCCACGGGGACGTCTATTTGTCACGCCCTGAGCCACCGCTGTCTGTTCCCCCCATGGCCACCAGAGAGCGGCTGTGAGCGCCCCAGCCGGTCACTTCCCTCCTCTGCTCAAGAACCCTCCACGGCTCCCACCACTTTCAGGGTTAAAGCCAAAGTCCTCGGCTGTGGCTCACAAGGCCCTACCTGGCCACCTCCTCCCTCTCCCCCCTTTTCTCTCTTTCTCCCCCTGCTCCAGCCACACCTGCCTCCTCAAACACGCCGGGCACAGGCGAGCCCCAGGACCTTTGCACAGGCTGCTTTCTTTGGAGACCTCACACTCTCTGCCCCAACCCCCTTGTCTACACTCACACCAATCCTTCCCTCCTGCCCCCACGAATCCTTCTCTGACTCCTGACATTGTTTGTTCCCTCCCCGTCTCTGACGTCCCTCCTCCCCCACCAGGAGAATGGCCACTGCCATTCTGGGAGAGCATCCAGAAGCTTCCACCCAGCAGACCGGGGGCGACTCGGACTCGGCCCCTGAGGATTAAACTCAGGCCTTGAGCCGAGTGGGGGCCGCCACGGGCTCCTCGGGGGAGCACCCACCGAGGGGGAGCACTCACCGAGGGGTAGGTGTAGCCTTCCTGGCTGCGGCAGATGTGCACCTCGTCCTCCGTGGTCTTCTGGTACACGGGGTTGTCAAAGTTGATGCTGTTGATGTTCTTGAGCCTCCAGTTCTTCCAGAGGAGGAAGCCCCCAAAGCAGAACAGGACGAGGAACGCTGTGGGCAGAGCAGACCCGGTCACACGGCTGTCCCCACGACAGGGGACCCCAACCCACAGCCAGAATGAAGACCCCAGCATCACCCGATGCCTGGGACCCCTTGATACCTCTTTAAAAAAATTTTTTTTTTTGTTTTTCAATGTGTACACCTGCTGTGTTGCCCAGGCCGGTCTCGAACTCCTGGACCCAAGTGATCCTCCCGCCTTGGCCTCCCAAAGGGCTGGGATTATTACAGCTGTCAGCCACCGCGCCCGGCCCCTTTTCACTGGATAATGTCACATTCTGGATTTAAAGCAGGGCTCGCTCATTGCAAAAAAGAAAGCTGTCTACACACGCAGCGAATCTCTAACTTGAAGCCCCAGGGCCAGCCTCGCTCCAGAAGGAGCTGACTGTTCATTCTCCCAGATTTCCATCTAGGGTCCCCCACGCGCGGGGCTGCGACGTTTTCAGAAATGGGATTTTTCCCCTACATGTGGCTCACAATTCGCTCTTCTGTTTTAACTCGAGTGGGGCCAAGTCGTTCTCTGCAGCAGTAATAGTGAGCCTTAGCCGGGCGCGGTGGCTCACGCCTGTAATCCCAGCAGGCTGGGAGGCCCAGGCGGGAGGATCACTTGAGCTCGGGGGTTCGAGACCAGTGCGGGCAAGAGTGAGACCCCTGTCTCCACAAAAAGATTTAAAGATTAGCCAGGTGTCATGGTGCCTGCCTGTAGTCCCAGCTACTCGGGAGGCTGAGGCAGGAGGATCGCTTGAGCCCAGGACTTTTGAGGCTGCAGTGAGCTACGATGACGACCCCGGTTTGGTGTCACCCTGAAGACCTGAGGGAGATGAGGGTCCCACTGCCGTGCTTGTCACCCCATAGCCAGGTAACTGAGGGTCATCAGGGGCCACCTCCAAAGACCAACTCACCGATGGGGAGGACGATGGACAGGGCCGCCACCCCCGCGGGCTTCTCCTCGTCCCCTCTGCCGGCCGCGTCGCCCAGGGCTGCGGGGGACAAGGGGGAAAGTGAGGCGCACAGAAAGCATAGCAGGCTGACGACAGTCACGTGCAGGGAAACGCCGACACGTCACCCTGTCCTGGAGAGTTCTAGAGCGCCCGGGGAACCCCCCAAGTCGCAGAGAGGCCACTCTGGCTTATCCGGGGGTCACTGGGGGTGTGGGATTCAACGGGGACGTAAGGACGCTCTATGAGCCGGACGCCGAGGCTCACGCCTGAACCCCCAGCACTTTGGGAGGCCGAGATGGGAGGATCACTGGAGCCCAGGAGTTTGAGTCCAGCCTGGGCAGCATAGCAAGACCCCACCTCTACAAAAAAATATAAAAATTAAGCCGAGGCGGGCGGATGGCTCGAGGTCAGGAGTTCAAGACCAGCCTGAGCAAGAGGGAGACCTTTGTCTCTACTATAAATGGAAATTCATTGGCCAACTAAAAATATATAGAGAAAAAATTAGCTGGGCATGGTGGCGCGTGCCTGTGGTCCCGGCTACTCGGGAGGCTGAGGCAGCAGGATGGAAAGGCAGAAGACGGAATGAGCCACATCGGGGTCACGTGTCCCCGCAGCGAGGGGTGATTTGCGATCCTTCGTGACACTCGAATCCGCCTGGGTTTCCATGTGACTGTCGTACGTGCGCAAGATGCGTGTAGACCCAGTTTCACTTTTGCGCGTGTTTAAGAAACCTTGAGATAAAAATAACTCGGGGCCACAGAGGGACCTCGCGAACCTCGTCCCCTTCAAAGGGCCCCGTTGCCCCTGGGCGGCCCAGCTGTGACTCGGTTTCCCTGGCAGGAAACCCCTCACCGCTGAGCAAGGTGCTTTCTCGCCTCCCTCGCCTACATCAACTCCCGTTTTATCTCGCTCGAGGCTGAACAAAAGCTTCAGCTACTCTGGAAAAAAAAAAAACCGTCTGAAATTTGCTGATGCGTCCTTTTTATTCCTTGCTAGAAACGTCCAGGAGGGCGGTGAATGCTGAGTTTGGTGCCCTCTGGTGGACAAACCGAGGAACTGACCTCAAGACTCAAGTAATTTTTTAAGGCATTATCTTTAAAACTCAAAGTGATTGCAAAAGTCGCACGGTAAACAAAATATCAAAAATTTCCAAGAGAGAGAGTATCTGATCCTACACTTGCAATGAATCCAGCCTCCTTGGAACCCTGGATCTGGTAAAACTTTCTTTGCAAAAACAAGCTTGGCCAGCCCCTGAAGTCTGATGCTTTTATTTCATTTATCTTTTAAGAAACAGGGTCATGATCTGTCACCCAGACTTACGTATAGTGGCGCCATCATCGCTCACTGTAATTTCATACTCTTGGGCTCAAGCAATCCTCCTGCCTCCACTTCCTGAGTAGCTGGGACCATAGGTGCCAGCCACAGTGCCTGGTGGATTTGATTTATTTAATAAGAGTATTGCTTTAGAATTTTCCTGGAGGCCACAGGGTGCGTTGGCTCACGCTTGTAATCCCGGCACACTGGGAGGCTGGGGCGGGAGGATGGCTTGAGGCCAGGAGTTGGAGGCTGCAGTGAGCTAGGATGACACCACTGCACTCCAGCCTGGCGCATAGAGCAAGACCCTGTCTCTAAAAAATAAAATTAAAAAATCGTATAGGCTTCCTGAGTTTTGGGGGCCACCTGTCACACGATGAGTCGTCAATAATACCTCCTTGACCTCATGCTAGTCCTAAAAACCAGGCAGAGGATGGGCTCCGACACAATTCCAGGCGCCTAGGTCCCTGCGCCTGGCCAGGACTGAGGGCCAACGGCTTCGAGGGACCAGGCCCTTTGCAAGACTTAGCGCGCTTGGTCCCCAGGGGGTGGGACAGCGTTATCAGGCCCATTTTATAGGCAGGGAAACGGGATTCAGAAATACACAGCCCGAGTCGGGCCCAGCCAGCAAGGGGAAGAACGCCACCCGGGCGCCATCTCGCGGGCCGGCCAGAGAGGGCCCAGCCTTTACCTTGGAATGACACCGTCACCGTCCACCGTCTCCGCCCGTGGAGCCCAGAAACGCAACCGGGTGTCGCGGAAGGGTGCAAGGAAGCAAGCCGGGTTGAGCGGGGGGAGATACTCTGGAAAAAAAAAAACCGTCTGAAATTTGCTGATGCGTCTTTTATTCCTTGCTAGAAGCGTCCAGGAGCGGGTGAATGCTGAGTTTGGTGCCTCTGGTGGACAAACCGAGGAATGACTCTCAAGACTCAAGTAATTTTAAGGCATATCTTTAAAACTCAAAGTGATTGCAAAAGTCGCACGGTAAACAAAATATCAAAAATTTCCAAGAGAGAGAGTATCTGATCCTACACTTGCAATGAATCCAGCCTCTTGGAACCTGGATCTGGTAAAACTTTCTTTGCAAAAACAAGCTTGGCCAGCCCCTGAAGTCTGATGCTTTTATTTCATTTATCTTTTAAGAACAGGGTCATGATCTGTCACCCAGACTTACGTATAGTGGCGCCATCATCGCTCTATGAATTCATACTCTTGGGCTCAAGCAATCTCTGCCCTTCCACTTCCTGAGTAGCTGGGACTACAGGCGCCAGCCACAGTGCCTGGTGGATTTGATTTATTTAATAAAAGTATTGCTTTAGAATTCCTGGAGGCCACAGGGTGCATGGCTCACCTGTAATCCGGCACACTGGGAGGCTGGGGCGGGAGGATGGTGGCTTGAGGCCAGGAGTTGGAGGCTGCAGTGAGCTAGGATGACACCACTGCACTCCAGCCTGGCGCATAGAGCAAGACCCTGTCTCTAAAAAATAAAATTAAAAAATCGTATAGGCTTCCTGAGTTTTGGGGCCACCTGTCACAACGATGAGTCGC